TTGTAGACACCAATAAGTAAACAAAGACTTCCTTGTCTTTCGAGTAATCTAAATACCTTTATCTCGATGTTGAACGTTCCCACTTCAATAGCGTTTCCCATGTCTGAACTCCAAGCTTGTCTGAGCTCTGATTTTGGTTCTTCGCCCTGAAATAATCAGAATTTATTTCTTACCAAATTTGTAAGATTCTATCATTGTAGTTTATTTAAATTAGGTGATTTCTGTGTGTGCTATAAATTCTGGCTAAGTTACAGCTGAAGATAATGCAATCCTTTGTTCCCTGGGTAATCATATCTCCCGTCTGAAGTTGCTGGGAGTTTGGTCCTGTGCTTTTTGCCTTCTCCAGACCTCTGTGCCTCCTGGTGTTTGCCTACTAGTAGAAACAATACACTGTAACTGCTGGGCTTTGGTCTGTGTTTCATTTATTAATAGCTGAATTTGGCTGATGCTTTAAGGTGATTTTTCAGCCCAGCTGGCAAAAAGACCATCACACTCAGTTTCTCTTGTCAGAAGTAAGCCCGAGGGAGCTGGGCAGGCTCTGTGTTTATGTTTGGGAGACGCTCTAAACAGGTATGTGCAAGGGCTTAACATAGGCTGAAGCATCGATCCTCTTGCCATACAGTCAGCTCAGATGCATGGGTAACGATCATCCCATTAAACTTTTAAAACAGTGCTGCAGTAGTAACATTGATCTGAACTGTTGATGAGTAGAATGAAACGTGTCGGGCTGGCAGGCTTGCTGTGAAATGCATTAGTTCACTTGTTAGATAGATGATAATAAATCTTGCTTTCTGAGGAGAAATTAATGAATTTGAAGCCAGTTAAAATACCACTGCGATACAGTGGTAGTTTAACTTAATTTTAATTTTGAAGCTAGTGAATGTGCTTCAGCTCTGTTTTTCAGCAGTGTGATGGTTATGGCATTGATTGTGTAGTTAGCCCAGTGGCAGCTGTTTTCATTGGTAACTATTACTGGTCATTTTTTAATCTTACTTTTTACTATTACTCATTTTTTACTATTACTCATTACTAGCAGTGAGTAACAGTGATCATTTGTTAGAAGAAAAATGTCCTTTTTACTTCTCTGCTAGACTAGTTTTTGGTACAAAGTTGAATCCACAGGTTTATTATCTTTATGTTTTCCATCAGATTTAATGCAGATTTATTTTAATACTTGTGAAATTAGAAAAATATAAATAATTATTATTAAGTCAGATAGCACTTTATTTTCTTCACTATGTAGTAGGTGTGTACAACCTAGATGAGGATCTAGTTCCTTTACTAGATCCTAATCTGAGTATCATGCTCAGCGAGCTCAGGTTGATCTGATTTCTGTTTGAGCAGCACTTGCTGCTAGCAGACAGAGACAAAATACTGGAACAACGAGAGATCAAATGTGAGAAATCTTAAAAGAAAATAAATTTGTAAGTACATACTTGATCTGTGTGGTAGTTTCCATTACTTGTGCTGATCTTCCTTGAAATGATGAGTCATAATTTAAAGGATTTTTTTTTTTAGTGAGAGATCAGTTAGGAGTCTGCTTTATTGCAGATTATTTTTTTTATTTTTTAACTTTTTTTTCTTATGCAGAGACAAAATATGCCATGGGGTGGAAGGAAGGGGAAAAGTAAAATTCATTGTTGCCACTGTTGCTCATAGCGTTTCATTTGTTGTGTATTAATTTTTGTCTCAGACTTCGATATGAACGAAATACAGTGGTCTATGGACTACCCTCAGCTTTTAAAACCTGAGGAGATTAGCAATCTTGTAACAAGCTTGATACACATGATAGATCTGTTTGATGTTTTGGCTCTGTTATGACTTTGTCATGGGTAATCTGTTGGTTCTCATATTTTGAAGTCAGTTGCTAAAGGCAGCTATTCAGATTGGGTTCACCCTAGTTCAGTCACCTATTTTTTTTTTTCTAAAGAAGGCTACATGTACCTTTTCTCTTTGTGTTTTGTCAGGAAACAGTAGTTTAGAAACTCAGTTGCTGTTGCCTCTTAATGCTTGATTCACCCTATATTCCTTTCAATTTACAGGGCAGCGTTCCATCTAGTGCTTGTTCTAAGAGCTTTTCTGGGCTCTTTGCTGATCAGTCTTGAACAATCCTGCTTGCCAAATTGGCAGTCGGCAAATGAAAAATTTTTCATCACAATAAGTAGAAACAACTTCTGCCTTGTCCAATAAATCCTTGTGACAGTTTTGTAGTGTAGTATAAATGTAAAAAAACCTCTCCTCATAGGAAAAAAGAGGGATTTTTGACTGATCTGCTCCTGTAGCACTGATGGGAAAGTAAACCTTGTAATTACTTCGGCTGTCTGAAGACCAAAAGGATGGTGAGTCATGCTAGCTAGAAAATTCAGATTTTTTGATCAGCCATGTATGCCTTTTCGTATTTGTTAATGGCATAGTATGTGTTTCATTCAAATAAATTTTGCAATTTTTTTTTCCAGATTTCTTTTTCAGATTCAGAAGGATCAAAATCATAACACTAGGGGAAAGCGACTTTCAAATAATTCAGCATGTTTAAACATGGGTTTCATGTAAATATGGATGTATCTTTACATGCTTAGCTTGTACTTGCATCGATTTGCTAGTGTGTGAGGATGTTCAAGAAATCATAGTACCCGCGACGGCTGGCAAACGTTCAGTCCTTCGTCGTGCTTCCGAGCCCACCGTGTGGCTGTGCCATGCCTCTGATTAGAGCAGAGTCGCACCTGTGTCTGGAGTGTGTGTTCAGGTTTGATGTTTCCTTCTGCACAGAGAAATGGCCTAGTAACATCTTGTATGCATAACAAGGACATATTTAATATTAATCAGACCCAGCTCATCCCCATGTTCTGTGCTTGTGTTCTGTTTTGCGTAGCCTTGTAAGTACTGCGCCTTTTGTGGTGTTCCCCGATCTGACTGCAAAACCAACATGCTGCGGGAAAAACTTGATTCCCGAAATTCTCATAAGATTGTATGCCTGTGCCCTTTTTTATTATTATTGTTGAAGCTTCATAAGTATCTCTGGTGTGCAGGCTTACAACTCATTAAAAGGAGTCTCAGTAGGTGTTTGGGGTAAGTTTTTGTGGTAGGGTGGAGAGTATACTGTTTTGTACATAGCTTCGTGGAACCAAGGTTTGCTTGTTGGCCAGCACTGGAAGGATCAGGTTTGTGATTTTTTTGCTGGGTGGTTAGTTCTCAGTTTCTACAAAACTAAATCTTGCCTAATGAACAATCAGGCTCTGTAATTCGGAATTGATAGAGTCTTTGCTGTGAGAAATGCTAGCGTTGCTACCCATGTTAGCTGGTGTTCGTTATAAAGATCAGCAACTGTACCGTAACATAGGGACATAGGTCCCACTTTTGGGACACCAGTGTCTTTTTGTATCCATGGTACTGTACATGAATATTTCAGAACAGTTGAGTCGCCTTTGCCAGCTCCGCTGGTTGTTGATTTAAACATGAATGCTATTGTATTGTTCATGACTTAATGATAAGGGCGTGGTCATTCAGGATAGCATTCCAGATTAATATAATAAATAATTTCCACCTATACTTTTTTTAGATATATTAAAGTATGTAGGTCTGATGCAGGCACTGAAACCATCTTCCTGGATAATAATTATGGTATTATGCTGTTTGAGTTGACTTTTTTTAAATTTTTTTAGAATTAATCTGGGTTAACAAAACAGAAATAAGAAAGGTGGTTTCAGTAGTTAAATGAATCAAATTGTATGGTGAATATGATGGGTCTGCCCAATTCAAATGCAACATATAAACAGCTGATAATATTTATGGACGTCCAGTTCAGTGCCTTTTGGTGAGCTGTTATGTAATAAAAATTATTAGTATGCAGGACACTGGAATTCTGGGTTGGTTGGTTGTTTTTGGTTGGTTTTTTTTGTTGAACAGGCAATTGCATTTCATGTGCTTGTTCAAAGTTGATTTTTGTGTTAACTCTTTTCCTAGAAAATTGAGCTCTTGACATCTTTTATTCAAGAACCTGAAGCAGCAGAGAGATGTTTTTTTACAATGGGGAGAAATTATCCGCTAGGTGAGTTAAGTGCCAACGTGTGACAATGGTCCGTGATCTTTTCAGTTGGGGAAAACAGCTGTCAGTTGTAATCTTCAGCTCTGTATGTGAACTGAATCAGCTGCTGTGGTAGAAAGTGTTTTAGATATACCAGACATTGGGACAGGCCTTAGGTGAAGGGAAAAAGGAGGGTTTGTGACCTGTAAATGTGATTTCTGTGCTGAGAAGTGATGAAACTCTACTCAAATAGTGAATGAAATATGTAATCCTACTTTTTCTTGTATGTTTCAAAAAATGTAAGGGTAGAGTTAAGTTCTGTGAGTGTTCTAGGAGTGAGATAACCGGTAAATTGCGAGCATCTACGTACCTAGGCAGATTTAATATACATAGGTGTACGTAGGTATGTATATTTATCTCTGGTTGTCATTTTATAGTGTTGTGCCTTGTCAAACTGCCTGGTGTTTCAGGTAGATTTGAAGTGACAGTTCATTATAGTAAGTTAGATGTGACTAATTTCCTTTGTAAGTAAATTTTACATAAAAAACATGTAGAACGTAGTAAAGGTAACCTTCTGCTGTGTGTCTGATGACAACCCGAGTACTGAATTATTTACTATTGCTTTGTATTGCCCATTTACTGTTTGACGGATCATTTTTACATTATAATATTGTTACTGCATAGGACAGATTTTTCTGAAGTATGTTATTTTTAATTCATCTGTTACGTCGATACCATTATCTCATTTCCAAAACTAAGAAGTATTATTTTAATAAGCTGAGCATAAACATAGTGTGATTGCTGACTCTTTTTTTTTTCTTTTTCTGTTTAGGTGTTTAAACTTCTGATTCAATCACCACATATTAATGGGGAAGAAAACCTGATTGATTAGCATAATTCTGGTAGTTTGTTTGCCTTTTTTTTTTTTTTTTTCCAATTCCACTGTATTTGAGGAGAAACCTGAGGAAAATTTCAAGGAATGGAGTTAGCTCACAGTTTACTACTTAATGAAGAAGCGTATAACCAGCTTGGTGAATTTGAAAAAGCAGAGTTCATTTTTGAGTGGTTGCAATTTTTGGAAAAACTTTTACCAGTGACTAGCAGAGTAAGTATAATGAGACTTGAGCAGAAATGCACATTATAGAGCTATTTCTCTCTGTCTTTTTTGTTATTTTGTTTAAAAATAAAGAGCAGTGTTCAGTTTCATTTGCTTCATGTCTTTTACATACATGCAATGGAAGTATGCTCAGTGTCAGCAGTAACTTTCTAAATGTTACAAGTTTTTGGTCGCAGCCCTTCAAGTGACAGAGCCACTTGTCCAATGAACGGAATTTGAGAAGTAAGCTTTAAGTGATTTTTTTTCTATTTGTTTTAAACTCAGATTATTACTACAAGATTTTGCAACACCATTCTGAAGAATGGCAGTCATGCTTCCACCTGTCATGGCACAATTATATGGTAGTTCTTTAGCAAGCAAGAGTGTAACATCTTTCTCTGTTTTTTGTTTTCGTAGTCAAATGATAAAAAATCTGTTTCCAGCCAACTGTCCAATTGTTTGGTTCACTATTTAAAGTATATTAAGTAGCATGTGTGGATATTTAACAGTAAACTAACCTGGATAATGCTATTTAAGAGTTAATGTTATTGGTATTAAAATATGTAAATGAAATACAGTGCCGGGCTCTTAATTTATTTTTTTAAAGAACATTTAAAAAAAATTGAGATAAGACTTAAATAGATTATTATTTTAAGGGAAGTTCTGTTCTTTCTAATGCTCAACTTCTTGAAAATACACTGAAGTTCTTCTTTACTACTTAAATTACTATATTTCTATGAATTGTTTTATTTTAAAACTGGCAAAAAAAGAAGCAACAAATGACAATTTTGTTTTAGCAAGATGTAACTATTCACATGCCATAGGGAAAATACTCCTGAAATGCGGCGAGAAAGAATTATGCTCTGAAAACTGAGACTTTTTTTTTCCTTTTTTTAAATAAGAATAAAATAGTCACATAGTTGAGATGGCTTTTCTTTAAATAGAAAGGTGCAATAAAATGTTCATTTTTAATTAAGATTGTCAGAGTATCAGAATGGTAATAATGAAAAGTAATGAGAATTATAATCTTTAACTTTTAAATGTGACTGAAATTTAACTGGTTACTGATTTTGTTTCCAGGCTGATATAAGGGAAAACCAGAAGAAACTGGTTGAACAATTGACTTCTTTATTAAATAATTCACCAGGACCTCCTACCAGACGGCTTCTTGCCAAGAATTTAGCTGTACTTTATAGCACTGGAGACACTTTTTCTGTTTACCAAACAATTGACAAATGCAATGAACTCATTCGGAGTAAAGATGATTCACCAAGTTATCTGCCTACAAAACTGTAAGTATTTTTTTAAACCCCAAACTTCAAATCCAGTAATAACAAGAGAGACAGATTTACATGGCAAAAAGTTAAAATAGGAGAGAGTATGATCCCTCATTTCTGCCTGTTGTCCAGTAGAAGATTTGTACCATATGACACACAGAATTTGGGAGCCTCCCTGGTTACTATCATTGTTCTGGGTGTATCCAGCTGTAAAAAGTAAATTTTTTCTTTGGTATTACATCTCTCAAATTTTTAGACTGAGTATTACAGATAGAAACTGAATTCATCTGAAACCTGAAAGCAAATTCAGATTACTTTCTTCCCTCTAGTTATTACAACAATTTTATTTTAATTGTTTAATATATGCTGCCTTCGGGCAGAATTATGAGTGGCTAAGTACTTGTGTATTATTTTATATATTCCTTTCTGTGTCTTTACTGGAAAGTCTTCAGTAAGAAGTTCAGCTGCACGTTGTGGGGAAAAGAAAAAGGTGGGTCAGTACTTTACAGCATAAATTACCCTTGAAAGTTCAGTAAGCTTAAAATATATTTTTCTTCTTATTAGAAGTTTCTTGTTACGATTCACGTAAATGTAACATAAAATCAATCACATTAAAATGCTTTAAAATCACATTACTTTTGAAGCATTTAACACAGAGGCAATTTGAGTCAGTGTAGGCTGCATATATTAGAACAAAATTTGACCAACCTAGCTAGCTAGTGTTTACTGGATCCACTGGAAAGAAATGCCTGGAGGGATTTGAAAGCTAAGCTAAATTAATTTATTTAGGACTGTAGGAATGCTAAACTTGTTGCTCTCATTTGGAACTATAATGACCAGAGTATGCTTTAAGGCAGTAGGGTAAACTGAGGCTGGTTTATGTTTTTATGGTTTTGTTCAGTGAGGGGACAAAACCACCTTGCAATACGTATTGTCATATTGAAGAAGCCATGCTTTACAGCAAGTCAAACAAACACTACTTGTTACAAAAAAGGTGAAGAAAGTTTTTCGTAAGTGACTTACTTAACATTAGTAAAAGGAAAAAAAAATTACCTGACATGATGCATCTGAGTTCACTACCACAGGTAGATAATATAACCAAGACTGTGGTAGTATTAGATATTGCATGCGTGCAGCAGGAACCAAAAGGGTAGAAGGCAGTTGGTGATCTCCAGCCAGACAACTGAAGGTCAGGCCAGAGAGAATACCGGCAATGGATGGCAGAGTTATGAGGGGCAGGTATTTGAAAAACAAGGAGAAGGTAAGGTATTGCGGAGTGGAGCAGTAAAACAGAGAAGTACAACTCCAGGTGCAAAACACAGTTATGGAGTACCTTTCTCAATCCAGCTGGGAAACTGGGTATAGTTAGTTAGAAACCTCTGAAACATTTGTAACTGAACGCCTAAAGCCTAGCCAACAGAACAGAGAAACGTGAACTGTTACTGCAAGATGTGCAACCAAATCTTAAGTTGCAGAAATGCTATGAATAACCTTCATTCTTGAAACAATGTGCATCTTTCACTATAGCAAAGAAAATTAAAGGTAAGGGTAGAGATAGGAAAATGTCATTGTGCATGAATGATATATTACATAAAGCAGAGCAGAATCTGTCTTCCTCCTTTGCTTCACATGCTAATCCTGTTTCTGACAACCCAAGTGAAGTTTCCTGAAAATAGATTTTTGCAATGAGTCAGTTGTACTTTCCAGTGTCATAATTTTTTTTGTTTCCCTCTTGTTCCAATTCACCTCTTGTGCAGTCTTTTGAGTTAAGAGTAAGTTTGCTATACAGGGCCTTAGTCCTGCAAAGTGAATTAATTACTGCTATACTACTGGCTCCTCAGTAGTGAGATGCATTAACATTATAGGTGAGCTGTAGTATGGGACAGAGCTCTGCGGGTCTTTCTTGCTTCGGCTGCACGATGCCTCACTGGAGGAGGGGGGATGATGTCAGCATAGCAAGGAGGAATGATGGAGTCCATTGGCAGCAAGGCAGGAATGGCACAGACAGACAGATGTAGCAGATAGCCGGACTCAGAGGGCAGAGAAGTAGCTGGGGGGAAAGAGAAGTGGCAGTGTTCAGAATCCTGTTGGGTATGTAAGCAGTAGTGATAAGAGGAAATAAGAGATCAAGTGGAGAAAAAGGTAGCAGTAAACTATAGTTTACTTCAAAATAAGTTTGGAAAGAGGATTTCTTACAGTACTGACACTGAGACAACAGGCTGCATAAAAATAATTGGAATCACAGAACTCTTTATTGAGTAAAACCTTTCATCTTGTGCTGCAAGTATATGGAATACTTGGCGTTCAGTGAAGAAAGACTGCTTTTTTTCTTTTTTTAATCTTGATTAAAGTGTTGTCTTTGTTTGCCATCTGTCCTTATTTACCGTGCATGCCCATGTTGTCTGGTAGCAACACTTAGATGTCATTGTTCACAATATGTTGATTCACCTGGAAACTCCTGTAAATAAAGTTTCCAGTGAATTATTCTCTTGCCTCATCAATTATCATTTTTCTTCTTCATGTAGGTGGAAGATGGAAATGTTTAGGCAAGCATTTTAAAAAGATCCTTAGTTAGGTGCACATCTACTAAAATTGAGTGTGATGTGAATGCTGTCAGCTCAGATAAACAGGACATGTAGTGTGAATACAGCTTATTATTTTACTTTAAATTACAAAGCTTTTAGAATATCCTTTAGGGCTGCTTTTAAACCGTAAGCATTTTGAAAGTGTTTGGCTGGACAGCCAACTTTTGTAGCTGATCTCAGTGCTATTTTACCACATGTTTAAGTATCTTAGTTCTGCATTTTTGTTGGTACCTCTCCAAGAACAATTGTTAAGGCAAAATTTGAGAGAAAACAACTTAAATGTGTATTTCATAGAAAAAAACCTTGGAAACTTATGGCTGGTGCGTGTGGTTTAACAGACAAAGTGACTGAATAATTAATGTAGTTTGGACTTAGTGAAGAAACGTTTGTGGAAAATAAAAGACAACTAGAGTCATGATAGAATCCTAGAAGTCAGTCAGAAGAGCTTCCTAAGTCCTAGGCTTTGAACTTTTATAGAAACTTAAGTATTGATGTGGAGAAGTAGCTGGATTCTCATCTCTAGTTGACTAGATGTTACGACTCATCAACAGATACTGACACTGTGTTGCTAGATATCACAGTTCAACACTGACTGACTCTTTCATACAACATTTCAGCACATGGCAGTACAGCCAACCACATAAGAGTGGTTGCAGGTTATACCAGGATGTAATAATGTAGTTCTGGTTTGGGGTGTTTTTTTATATGTTTGTTAAATATTCCTTCTTTGGATTATGATGTGAAATATATATTATTTAGTCTTAAAGCTAATTGAAGAGAGTATCTGTGATCATCAGATGATAATTTAGTAGTAAGATGGTGCAGTTGTAATTTTATGCCTAGCCACACCATGAACAAAATTAAAATCCAAACTGTTGATGAGTACAGAGTTGGGTAAAAGCAATAATGAAAAATGTTGCTTTATTTTGGCACGATAAGAGATAAAGAATATCAGTTTTGTTTTGCTTACTGTGCTTTATGATTTTGGGAATTACTGTTAATTAAGAATGTGTTCAGTGTGAGATTTTAAAGTTCTTTGTGTGAAACTTGGATTTGGTTGGGGAATAAGTAAAATGTTGTTTTGTCGAAGGGGATGCTGAACAGTGCCACTGCATATTTAAGCAGGTCTGGCCAAAGAGCTGAATGATGATTAAAAATGTAATTTTTTTTTTCCCTGTGTTCATAAAATGAATTGGTTTAGTTATAGATCTGTCAATACAAAAGCAAAGTGTTTTCCTTAATTATTCAGAGGAAAACACTCTTTAATTAAGCAACTCTTTCTTTCTTTCTTTTTCCTCAATGTTTGGAAATGTTTGTTTTTGCTAAAGGAGATGCTGGTGACCACACAGACTCCAGTTGTCGCGTATTTGACCTGGAACCTAAATTCGTAATCTGTATGTGGTGAAAAGAACGTGGCCTTATACTTTTATTTCCTTCAAGGTGTTTCCTTATTATGTATTGTTTTGCATAAATGCCAGAATTTTAATTACCGGACCATTTTCAGTCTACTATTGACCATGAAGCTGTGAATAAACCTGTCCCTGGCTACTTCTAGAAGCATCTGCCATAGCACAGTACCATAGACTGTGTGATGCAGGGCATGCTTAGTTGGAAATTAATGTCAGGGTTTAAAGGTGGATATGAAAATTGTACTTCTAACATTAAATTTATTGGAAGGTTGTATTACCTGAAGTCTTGTATTATCCAAGTTATTTTCCCAGTCCTTGTATGTATGTTTCTCCTAGAGCGTATGTGCCACACACAGACCTGTTTTTGTGTTTTGTTTTGGTTTTTTTTCCTTTTGATAATCCATTTATGTTTTTGGGACATTCTATTTAGTTATTTTGTTGTTTGCCCATTGATTACATTAGTCGTGTTAATCCCGTTCATCTATTACTTCATCCATTTTCACGCGTCTTTGGATTTGCTTTTGTTTTAGTGCTGCGGTGGTATGCTTGGGCTATTTATACAAAAAATTGGGAAGAATTTTGGGAAACAGTTTTACTGACATCGTTGGGAATGTGCTTAAAGCAATGAAGAATGCAGAGGTATTGGAACAGCATGTTTAAAAAATGATTGGAAAAATAATAGGATGCTTACTGTTGGTAGCTGGACCAATGAATAGGAGAAAGTGCATGATACCAAAATATGAAAAAATTGTGGAAAGTCACAGGATAAAAGTCAGTGTCTAATTGCAAAGAATTACTAGAGAGTTAATGGATGGATCGTAGCTATTTTTAATCTGATTTCATGAAAGAACTTGATAAACTAGAAAATTTAATTACCTTATTAATAAGAACATTTTTGCTCCAGCTTGTACTTCATGTTTTGAGTTTTAAACTGCTAGCGAGTACTTTCCAACAGAACATAGAATTACTATTTTCACTTGCTTATAGAGTTACAAAGCAAGTTATCTGGTTTAACTCACTTCAACATAGACAGATCTCCAGAAGTCTGAAAGACCCAAACCGTTGTTTACCTGCTTCAGTAGTTGGTATTTTGTATTTCCAAGGAGCTTAGGGTTGCAAAACCTTAACATTTCTCCTTTTCATTTTTCAGTCTCAAGGCCGTTACGAAATCATGCTTAGTTTGCAAAATATATTGAATGGTTTAGGAGCTGCTGCTGTCCCCTGTCATAGAGATATTTACAAAGCTGCCCGATCGTGTTTGATGGATCGATCCATGGCAGTCCGCTGTGCTGCTGCGAAGGTAAAGTGCTCTAATAGCTGTTTTTATTAAGTAAGCTCCCTAAATAAAATTCTGTTTTAATGGATGATGAACACAGCAGTAAATACATTGTTTGCTTATCTTTGTTTCTTTAGTATTGCCTTGGCAGCATAAATTCAGATAATTTTAGTATGAAGCAACTTGCTTATTTTGTTAGGGAGAACTCTGTGTACTATCTAGTAAACTAAACTTTGTACCAGTGCTTTTCCACATCAAAACATTTTTATTTCCCTTTTTTGTCTAGTGTCTTCTTGAACTTCAGAATGAAGCAGTATTTATGTGGAGTACAGACCTGGATAGTGTTGTGACCTTGTGTTTTAAATCCTTTGAAGGTTCCAATTATGATGTACGATTAGCAGTTTCAAAACTTTTAGGCACAGTATTGGCTAGAGCTCTAACATCTAAACAGACAACAGGTAAAGTATGTACTTTGTTTGCTGATTCCTCGTTTGTAGAAATCTGTCAGATGATAAGAAACTCAAGTTCTACTGAAGCCTGAAGTAAAATCACAATGTAAGCTTCATCGGGTTGTTCACATCTCTGGTGTCATCTTTTTTGTAACATTTTTCTTGTGAAGGGCTATGTTTTTTGTTGTGTTAACATATATGTGTTTATATATATATATGTTTATAAAATAATAAACAAGGAAAAATATTTGGTAAAACTGTTTTTCCCCATTACAAGATTGTTATTGTATGGAGAGAAATTAGTAGCCTCAAGCATTTTCCTATGAATTTTTTCAAGAGAATTATTGTATTACAGGAAACAATCAGGAGCTGTCTTTTCCCAATAAACGTTTTAAAAATAATGTTCTGACCTCTTTATAGACTCAGTAATTTTGTTTAATCTTTGTAAGCAATGTAGTTGTATTTGTAAAGTGCTACGATAAGGTTGTAGAGGAAGCTCATCAACTGTTTGATTGGCTATTTTTAGTTATTTTAGTTATTTTTAGTTAAAAAAAAAGAGACAGCTAAGTGAGACAGAAGCTAGGTGGGGGCTAGAAAGGGCTGGGGGAGAGGTGGAGGGAGCAGTACGTGAAGAAGTGCATAGTCCTGAATTTTCTGCCTTGTATCTGATAACCTGCTGGTACTGGGTTGGGTTTTGGGTGTTTGGGGTTTTTCTTGACATTATAATCTCAAATCCTCTCAGCCCTTTTCCCATATCAATACTTGGAAGAGAATGAAAAATGCAGTGAAAATTTCAGGTCACCTAGTTTGTACAGTGTTCAGTCATCATGCTCAGTTTGCACGCACATGTCCCAGCAAGTATTTTAAATTAATAGAATAGGAATTAAGGATAAATAGTTTTCCTAGAAGATCATAAACATATTCTATTATTCTCATTCTTTTGGAAAGGTAATTTATTACTAAGGTAAGATGCTTTTGTTTCTAAGAAAAACTGTAGCAGTGCCCTTATCTGGCTAAGCATAGCAGAAAGGTGATCCGCCCTGTCTGGAGTTTGGAATAGAGGTTTGTCTTTGGCAGTAAGCTGGAATGAGACAGAGTTAGGGCTTTCACAAAGCTTTGGGTGGTAGGAGTAGGCCATGCAGACCTTTTTGCAAAGGGAGCTTAGGTTAAATGGTAAACACTCAGGGACGGTAAAAGCTTGTATACGTATTAGGTGATGGCCTAAACAATTTAAAGATAGCTGAAGCTGGAAAACTTGAGAAATATTATGGTTTGCTGGAGCACTGAGTCCTAAAATGTCTTCGTTTCTATTGTGAAATTATGCTTGAACAGTATTTGGACTTGATTGTGCTACTGAATTTGTGCAGATTGTTTTTTCTGAAACGAATTAGACTTGAAGCTTCTCTTCTGTAATGTAACAAGTTTTACAGAGCTGTTCCTCTAAAGATTTATATCTACTCTTAGCATCCACCAGGCATAACTTCCGCAGAATCTCTTTGGAAGAAGTGATGGAGCTGTTGGGAACTGGATTTCTGCGCGGAAGTTGTGGGTTTCTGCGAGCCAGTGGTGACATGTTGAAAGGGACCAGTTCAGTCAGCAGAGATGTTAGAGTTGGAGTCACCCAGGTTTGGATTACGTTAGTTACGATTTTCTGAGATGGCAAAACAGTCCCATAACAACTGTTTTGTTCTCTGTATATCTCTTATTTCATCCTTTTTTGTATCTGTGATAAAATGTATGTAATTTAGAGTAAGGATTTACATCTTGAGTTATGCTAGAAAGAAACGAAAAAACATTTCTGATGTTGCTTGTTGTTTACCTGATAGTTTGAAATTCACGAGTAATAGATATTTAATTTTGAAAAAGCTCCTTTGATATGAATGTCAAGTAAGTGATATAAATAAATACTTTCCTCAAATTTTTAATTTAAAACCTAATGTCTTATGTGTAAAAATGAAAGGGAGAAGTTACGAGAATTCTATGAACTTGGAATAGTTTCCTTCTCTATAGGGACATTCCCATTCTCATTCTGAAAGAATGGTTCTGCTTTGAGTAAATGTGTGAAAAATAAGGAAAACGGATTTTAGTGGAAAAAACCAAACATCTGTTTTTCTGTGTTCCGGGATGCTCAGTTACAGGATAGAATCTTGTTAACTGACCAGGACTGAAGTCAGACCATATAGTGCATGCTGGTAAAAATGTTTCAGATAATAACAGATTGGCTTATTCCTATAAATATTATCTTAAATGGCATTTACATGCTAACACCTAGACATGCAACTGTTAAACCTGTGAATCAAGACTAAAGGTCATGATGAACATGTGCTTATCAAAAAGCTGCAATTATTTTAGTATGTCACAGTCCCCACAGGTATTTGATATGTCCCTTTGCCAGTATGGGAGTTTTTCAGTGCATTTCAACTTCTGCAGTGCAAAAAATCTGTAAATTAGCTTGAATTACTCATAGAAGCTGCCAGACTTTGCACTGAAACAGCCAGAATTTGCTCACAAATTGTCTGCTATGCTCAGATCATGCTGGGTGGAAGCATTAACTTCTGGAAGAGAGACAGAAAAGCTGGGGAACAATAATACCTTGACAGCTATTTACCTAGAAAATGCATGCCAGACTCCTAAGGTGTTCTGTATACATGGTGGTTTTATTAGTTTGCCAGGAATAGATATTTTAGTTTAGTGCTTTGACTCTTTGTACTGGTATTTGGAGGCTGTCTCCTTTTGCATGTGTTTCTATATTAACACAATAGTACGTTCTGACTGTACCAGAACAGTTAAAATAGTGCAATGTTTCTATATAAAAACGTTGAGAAATAGTGCGTATAGCAATGCCTGTGAGTGGAAAACACTTGCAGTTATAAAATGTACCAATTATTATGGGAATTGCAGCCTATTATAAATCAAAAAATGAGAAAAACACTGAAGATGACTTCTTACATATGGAAGAAGAATTTATATTTGTTTAAGACAAGCCAGGTTCAAGATGTATTTCAAAGTGTAGCCATGACAGTATGACTCTTCACAAGTCTGTGAAATTCCTCAGTTTTCAAATTTGTAAAACAGGGGTAATGTACGTTGTGAAGCCTAAGTAGTGTTTGTCAAGAGCTATTAGATCCTAACAAGATCTCATAGTACAATTTCTTCCGTCTGTATTACTTTCTTTTACATGAATAATTAGACACAGACAAAGTATGTAGTGGGCAAATATAGCAGTTCATTGGTATGGTTGTGAACTTGCTTGTAAGGAATTTTATGTATTGATTTCCATCTTCTCATTTTTTGTATTCCATTTTCTTAATGGTAGCACATCTATTCATTAAAAAAAATCCAATGAATGCACATGGAAAGCATTTGTAAGGGAGCATATTATGCGGCAAAATAAATGGTCTTGTGGCAATTAGATTTGTAAAATGACTCTGCATTCTTTCTCCTTGTTGTGAGAGACATCATCTTTTTATGGTACCTCCGTTGCAAGACAAACAATTAAAATTCATTGAGATAAAGAGCAGTGCTTGGGGGCTGCAAATATTCCCTAGTTCAAAGCCTATAATAACAAAATTCTCTCAGGGTTATGGGTTATAGTTTTGTAACATAGTAGTTCTTAAAATGCATTCATACATTAAATTTGGGTTCCATGTGCAGAATGTTAAATAGCTGGAAGCTGTTGTTCAGTGAGACCAAACACAATGTTTTACATAACAAGTGTCTATGCAGGGTAAACTGCCATTTCTCACACTCTGGAATGAAATAACATGGGCAAACAGCTTGAATTAACTTACAGTCAAAGCAGGCTACAATAGTGCTAGTACAGTTTTGGTAGCAATTTAAATTACTTAAGTAGATTAAAAAAAATTGCAGCTTCCTGAAAGTGAGAATATATGTGATTTGTGGATGCGTGAATGTACAAGTAATCTCAGTTTAGTGGCATTCTAGTTGTGACAGTGTGCAGAGATTTAAAAAAATTGTGTATGTGGGATAGCTGGCAGTGGTTTTCCAGATTATATTGCTCTAAAATATGGCTTCTTTTCAAATCTCTTCCAGGCATATGTGGTATTTGTCTCTACATTAGGAGCACAATGGCTTGAAAGGAACTTCTCTGCCTTCCTTTCCCATATTCTAGATCTCGTGTCTCAGTCTCACCCTAAGGCTATTCAGAGTCAGATGGATGCTATCGGCTGTCGTCGCTGCGTTTCATTCATCCTTCGAGCTACAGTAGGAGGCCTTCTTGGGGAAAAAGCTCAAATTGCAGCTGCCAAGGAGATTTGTCAGACCATCTGGAGACTGAAGAAAGTTGTGGGTATGGGTCTAACAAGATTATCCGTTTGGGTCTCTGTTTTTCCTTTTCTAAGTGATTGTCCAATTTCCTAATCCAGAGACTGCAGAAATAGAATATATAGTGCTGATTTATTACCATAAGAATGTAGAGGGCTTTTGATGGACTGCTTTGTTTTTAACTTGGGCTGATTATTTGTTTGTGTGTGTCTGTGTTTCTGCATGTGTGTACCCACACAAGGGTAAACGTCTTTCTTAATGCTTCTTTCCTGGCGAATAGAATTTTAACCAATTACAAATATAATAAAATAATAAATAGAAGCAGTAACAAAATATAGACAGTATTGTAAAGTAAGTTAAATTGGCTGTTAATGTATAGCCAGATTCTGCCTTCCTGTTCAGAGCAGCTGACACTACTGCAGGTTCAGAAAAGAAGCATTTGTTCCTAATTGACAAAATGAGCATTCCTCCCGAGGAAAACAGATCTCTTGCATGATAGAGTCTTGTACACAGCTTCCAAAAAAAGCTGCTGATCTCCCACCATCATCCTTGTAGGGGAAAAGGAGGAGAATGCTGGGCATAATCCATCGTCCCCTAGTGTACAGCTGCATGTTGTATCCTAGTTGAATACCTAAATGTTCAGTATCTAAACCAACATAATCATTTGTGTCTCAAAAGATGAACTTTCAAAAAACTCCAGATTTTTCCCTCCCTTTTTATTCCTTGTCCCCAGTGTCTCGCTTGCTGTCATACTATTTCACTCTTTCCTTCTCTTTTTTTTTTCCTACTGTGTAGTAAAATCTGACAAGTTATATCAAAGCATGACCTTTTCAAGTCACTTTTGCCGAGGCTGAGAATAGCATGCTTCTTATAAGCTACTGTTCCCTGTCACTTAATGATAAGCAATTTGGTAGTTTCCATTTTATCTACTCTTCTGCCCTCACAGACATTACTACACTATTCATCTGAGTAATAAAAATGCGCTTTTCTCAGTGATGGTAAACATTCATGAAAATAGTTTGGTCAGTAATAAAAATGGTAGTGATAAAAGCTTGTTTGATGATATGAACAACTTATCCTAGCAAAATCCTTGTTCCAATCTGTTTGTTTCACGTTGATAATGTTTTCATGGGAATCTTCTGTCATGTTATCAGATGCTGCAATGAGTGACAGTAACTTGGAAGCAAGAATTAGTACAACAGATGCAACAGTAAGTCAGCATGTGCTTGTGTGTGCACTTCAGGAACTCGGAAGTCTCATCCATGGCTTAGGAACTACAGCAGCACCATTACTACAAGACTCCAGTACAGGTACAAGTCCTGAAATATTTTGTGAACCAGAATACAAAATATATTCCTTTTTTCACTGTGATGATCTTTGATTTCTTATGGATAGACTGTCCATTCTTTCAGATCCGTTGGGATCCTTTGACTGGCATTGACTATAGCAACCTTTCTTCTGGTGTGTAGTCTCCTCCCCTGGACCCTCCTTAGTTCTTCCTCTTCTGTTTTCTTCCACTAAACCTGAAGCAAAAAAAAAAAAAAGAAAGAGAGAGGAAGTTGGCTGCCTGACATGCTGTGGGAAATCTTCAGGCATTGCCCAAAGAGTTCTGTGTTTTCTCCAGCAAGTACTAGTATGTTAATTAAAAAAAAAAAAATCATTATCAAATTTAACTCCGTTAAGGGTTGTATTTAAAGTCCAAAACTTCATAATCTTTACAGTAAATCAGTTTGATTGAGCTGGGTATCTTCAACTACTTTTGTTGTTTTCATTTAGCAGCAGTGAGAATTTGTTTTTTCTGGATGAGTTCAAGTGGGGATCTGTTTCCACTGCGTGGATTTCTGCTGCCTTAAGAATACTTACAGATATTTTCTATGCGTGTTGGTGAATAACTGCATAATATGCTAGGTTTTCTCCATATTGTTACTTTTCATTCAGAGTAAATTTTTTTTAAAAAGTATTGAAGTATTTAAATTTGATGAGAAATATTTCACAAAAAAAATCAATAGTACTTTTTAAAGAGAAGTGCAGAAATTGCATAGTGGTTATGTTCACCAGGCATCTGTATACATTTTTGCTTGTTTGACAGTCTGCTTGCCTGTTTCATAAGAGTGTTCATGCATTTTATTTTTCAGGAATTCTGGAAGCAGTGATTTCTGTCATTCTTCATCCCAGCATTTCAGTTAGACTAACAGCGGCGTGGTGTTTACGCTGTATTGCGGTAGCTTTGCCCTCCTGTGTGTCCCTCCTGCTGGATCGTTGCATTGAACGTCTTAGTGCATTGAAATCCTCCCCAGAAGCAGTAACTGGCTACAGTTTTGCTGTTGCTGCTTTACTGGGTGCAGTAAAACACTGTCCATTAGGAATTCCACATGGAAAAGGGAAGGTATGGTCTGAACACTTTACTTATAGGCAATTCTTTGATGTTTTTGCAGTAATATTTGCATGTATTCTTTATGACATAATGATGTAAACCAGTGTACTGATGAGATTTTTTTTTTTTTCCTCAAGAGGAGGACTTTGAAGCATACCATAACTTAAGCAAGTGTTTTTCTCACACGTGTCAGGATTGTGAATTTCTCAGGAAAAGCCACCAAGGACTTTGTCACTCATACTGCTACCTTTTTCTAATGCAGACATTTGTCAGGGGAGAAGTTCATTTTGGGACAGAGGTCAGTTTTGTGGAGCTGTAAGGACTTAAACTGAACAGTCTAAGAAAAGGTTTACCTGGAGAAAACATTTCTTGAGTTACATTTTTCAGAATTTCGAACTAAATTCTTCACAGCAGCATCAGACTTTCTGCAGTTCTGGCCCAGTTTGACATTGGTTTAAATTAGGAAGCTGACATTTCAGCAGTGGTAATGGTAAGAAAAGGCTAGTCGGAAGTACATACAGCTGAAATGTATCAGCCTTTGCCAGAGGAAAAGAACTTTCGTGTATAAAAAATATCAGAAGATCATACAGATCTGTTGCGTGCTGTGATGTTAGAAATAAGTTTCCTGAAAGGAAGCTCATTCAACCACAGATTAAGCCAAATGAGTATTTCCCAGGCCCATCAATGACTCTCTAGTGTACAGTTTAGTCAGTGCTTGCACAAATAACAGCAGTTATGTATTATCTTGAAAACCTTTGGTCAAGTCCAACAAAATCTTTAATTAAGTCCAACAGATACTCACTTTCATTTTGTTTTACAGAATTTAAAAGAAACCAATTTCTTGCATTAGCATAGTCTAAGGTGCTTGTACCAATCTCTCCGCTAGCACAGATAGGATATACTGTGCTCTGAAGTTTTAGGGATCTGCAGATGTAGAAATACAGACCAGGAGAAAAAGCTGTTTCTGTCTCAGTGAGAACTTCATCCATGGAGTTACTCACAGCTGGAGGACTATGGTGCCACACAAATATCAGCAATATATGCCAATTCTCTGCATAACGTAGAAACTTATATTCTCAGTTCTGAAAATACCTGTTTTGGAGCCAGTGGACATTAGAGAAGAAGTGGCACACTTTGACACAAGGATTGTAGTTTTTTTTTCTTGTTGTTACACCACGGTAATATGAAAGGAATGCTTTAGTACATTAGCGGAGGTGTCCCTTGCAGTGACTCCAGCCCACCCTTTCCGTATTGTTGAGTACTAACAGTTCCATGCCACTCCTTAACAGGCATTGCTAGTTACAGTTCTCCACATTGAGTGTCCCAGCTGCTGAATTTATAAATGTAAAAAATAAGCCTGTTTTTCTTATCTTTTAAAAACTTTTCCTCATGATTACTGAAAGATCATGGTGAGATAACAAAATTAATATTGTTTGCCCAGTTATATAGGTAAGAAGTGCCATTCAAATACTAAACGCCTAGGCCGAGCTGAAGTTTTTATTTAACAGAGAAATGTAGTTCTTAACAAAGATTTCTTTTAGAGGAATAGAATAGGATGAAATAGGGCCAGGAGGAGGTATGGGAGGGCACAGAAAAGTGTGGGAGAAACACTGTATTCGGTACTAAGCTGGCAGGGGTGAGAACAGAGGAGCTGAAAAAAGCCCCTTTCCCTTCTCTCGTAGGAACACTGCCAGATTCCAGACTAGCTCCTTTTCGGAGGAGCTGAAAGAGACCAGTGTTAAAGAGAGCAGTTTTGAAAAAGAAATATCAAGCATAGACAGTAGTGACCTGGAAAGAAGCTGGTTTATATTAATGCATTTTCCTTTGAGAGAGTAGTTAGAGTTGCAGGTGGGACCTATTCAAGAGAACAAAATAATGAGTGGGTTTGTATATATTTAGCGTATTATCTATATACATATATACACTTCTATAAATTATAGAAGGAAGTTAGCTGTACTGAGGCTTTTAATAGTATTACTGATAATGGCACTTCTTACTTGTAATACTAATTTACAAGCAGTTTGTTTTGTCAACCAGGCATAATGCAAGATGTAAGAAATACTTTTTTTGTATATGTGAAACGTAACTGAAACGAACCATTTGCAGAATACTTTTTGAAGTTGTAACCATACTGTGGTAATTGTCCATGGACACATTGTGTGTTCCTCCATGTAAGTTTTAGGTAGCTCAGGCTTTGGTAACAAGTGCAGATTGTCACCTTGCATTTAGCATATAATAGCAGGCACATGCAATTATTGTGGGGAAGCTAAGATAGGGTTAAGTCTAACCGTACCATACCATTCTGACTTGTTTGTTTAGTCATACCATTTGTTGATTAAAAACTGCCAGAGAGAATAATAGACTTTATTCTAAAACAAGGATAAGAAGATCATTGCCCCTTTCACCACTTCTTGTGAGCTCTAATTCGCAGGTCTTGTGCTGTCCTTTTCCGACATAGTGGCATAATCAGAATATCAGAACACTTTTATCCTTGCCACACATATTCCTGTGAGAATTACCAGCTCTCATTTTACTGCTGATAAAAGAAGGGGACAAAGCAGCAAAGTAACTTACCTAGTATGCCACAGGAGCTTTTGAAGCTGTCCCAGACTAGTACTGAAGTTGGTCATTGCAACTTTGTGAGCCTGAGTTTCTTGCTGTAGTGTGAGAAGGCGGTGTCATTCTGTTTGGGGACGCTGAAATAGGATGAAGTATCGTGGCAAATACTATTGAAAAATCATTTGGTAATTACTAAAGATGCTGATGCTCTGTTTTTCTCTTTAACTTTGAAGGTAATCATGACAGTAGCAGAGGATTTGCTGTGCTCTGCTTCTCAGAACAGTCGCATTTCACTGCAGCGAACGCAGGCTGGATGGCTGTTGATAGCAGCTCTCATGACATTAGGTAGTAGCTTTCTATGGTTTTTCTTAATTAAGCTGTTCTGTGTTCTTTCTCTGACTTTAGTTCTTTTGATTTTTCATTTAATTTAGCACTGCAAAATAGTTCTTAAAAAACAATATAAAGCAGAGTCTTTAGAAAAAGTTTATAGTTTCTTCCAAATTCGCTGTTAGTTCATTGGGAGTGATGTCTGAAAAACAGTCACTGGGGAGGACCGCTATTAATTAAATGTGGAAGATAAATTTCAAAGTCAATCTAACCAAATGTCTTTGTGGTCATGAAGAATTACACTGATATATTTTAAGATCTGTCCCAGAACAAAAGGAGCTAATCATTTGTATTTCCCTCTTGTCAGGCATTTGAAATCTTGCAGAACTTTCTGATATTTATTACTGGTCAGATTATTGACTATGATCACTAAATTACTCATGAAGAATGTATTTTATCTGTTTTGTTCATCTTTTTAAGGCACCTTTCATGTTTTCAGCTATTACTTCTGCGCAACAGCTCCCAGTTTTTTCTTAGATTAGGGAAAACACACCTTGTACAGTGACCTATAACAAATCTTTGCTTTTCTGAACATCACTATTACTTATTACATCTCTTTTATGCTGGTGATCCACAGGGTCTGTTCTTAGTAAAACAGAGATTATAGCTGGCTTGGTGACAGACTTGTAGATATGTCAGTGGGTATGTAGTTATGTACAAAAATGGAGTAACATGAGAGTCAACATTTTGAGAAATGGTATATGAGATGGCTGGGAAAGTAACATAAAGTTTTATTCAGAGCTTTAATGGTTTTGTGAATGTAGATAAAAGAAACAAAGAGAAAATGTATTTTTATCAATCCTTACATTGGCATGACAACTGTCAACGCTTACAGGTCCTGCAGTTGTCCAACACCATCTGCCACGAATGCTGTTACTGTGGAAGTACATCTTTCCATCATCTCCTAAAGACCTAGAGATGGAGAAGACACGAGGAGATTCATTTACTTGGCAAGTAACACTGGAAAGTCGTGCTGGTGCTCTCTGTGGTAAGCGGGATTTACTGTGTCTTGCTATGCATATTTATAGTTTAGTTGTTTGATTTTCCTTCTGAAAGAGCAACAATACTTCATATTAATTTTTTTCACTTAATGGTAAAGGATGTATTCACTCCCCAACATAAATGCTTGTGTGTATATATATTTACCTATATGTATGTCTATATGCATGTCTTTGATTTTTGTAAAAAACAAACATACAAAAAATTCAAAGAGGATTTTACCTCTTCTTCTTTTAATCATTTGATTTCCAAATAGTAAATGATATCAAGAAGGTTGCTTCTCTTTTCATGTTTATATTCATACCACAGTAACGAATGAGGACCCACAGTAGGGTATGTTCTGTTGCTTATACAGTCTATTATATTTGGCAAATAGCAGTTCTATTTCCCAATAGCTGACTTACTGTAAGGAGAAGAGAATTGGTGAGTAAGTCAAACACATTTGTGAGAGTGGGAAGACTCAGGTAAAAATTGCAATGAGGAAGTTGCAATTCTCAGCCGGTAAAGAGTACTATGTATTTGGCTGCTGTCTGGTAGGTTGCATTTTTTCGTCATGAAGTATGGTGAATCTGGGTTTTCCAGAGATGACTCTAGTGATCCTCAAATACTTAATGTGTTTCAGTCCTGTGTTTGAGAGTACTGTGGCGTCCTTTGCATTGCGGGAATGTGAACCCTAGTATAGTGATCACCCCTCTCTCTCACCATTAAAATCTGTCAGAAAGCGTGGGATTCAATAGTAATTTCATTTTACAAATAACCTAAACAATCAACCTTAAAATATTTCCTTTTCCTTTTGGAAAAAGGTCTTTAATACTATATATTCTCTGGATGCTTTTTGAACTACTAACTGAAGTTTAATTTTCTACAAATAATGAAAAATTGGTGTGTACATAGAAGTTGTTTCTTGAAGTACAGTAGTTAAGCTAAATTTAAATAGAAAAGTAGCAAAGTAAGCAGTAGATCATCTGATCATCATCCTTTTTCCATTTTTTAGTTTTTTTGTTATTATTATTATTTTTGTTATTATCATTATCATGGAATTATCATGAAGTTGGGTTATATCCCATAACTCAACTCATAACAAAAAGCAAAAAATGCTTGCATTTATCTATGCAATTAAAAGTCATCCAAGCTGAGACAACAAAACAGTGCATCTGTAAATATGACTTTTTCAGTTCAAGGTTTTTGTCAGTTTCTTAAATTATTGGTCAAAATAGTTTAAAAAATGTTTGGATGCTTACTTCTAAATTATTAGTGAGGTAATAATGTGATTACTTCACTAATGGGATTTGTTTTCTTCTATATCTCTCACACTAAGTTAAAATCCAATTCCTTTTCTAGCTATCAGAAGCTTTGTTTCCCACTGTGCTGGTCTTCTTACGGATGAAGTTGTTCAGAGACTTCTTCCTCCTCTACCAAGTGCTGTTGATTTATTGACACAGTAAGTGTGTGTATCAAACTGTTAAATGAGATTCTGGTTTTGAAAAGCTACAGGCTAATCTTCTTGTATTTGATTTAGTGCACTTTCCAATGAACTTTATTTTCAAAGTAAAAAAATTAGCTTATAGATTTCAGCTGTATAGCTGAACACTTTAGCTGGCATAATGGTTCTTGCAGATACCAGTTTCGTGTAAAAAAGCTAGGGAAGATATTATTGCATGCTTTTGTTAAATTAGTGTTTTTATTCTGCTTTTTTAATCAAACATACACATTTGTCTTTAAGCATGATCATTTTTTATAAGATAAGAAAAAGAAGTCCAAAGTTATTTTTATAAAATAACCAAACTTTTGTCTTTAGAAGTTTGAGCGGTTTTTGTATTTAAATTCAGAGCTAAGCTGGAAAGAGTTTTATATTTTTTAAATTTTTGCCTTCTGAATATGTAGTGATTTAATGTATATGGGCTCTAAACTCAAATTTACAGAGATATGTCCACAAAAAAAGTTGATTGTAATAAATACAGGTACAATCAAAGGCAAGAGAAAGCCTTATTTATTTCTCTAGTATTAAATGAAAGAGATGACTGGGAATGGAGAACAGAGAGGTTCTGTCAGAACATATGAAATAAATTGTTCTGCTTCTACTATTGGTAATGCTAATCAGTACTGTACTTATGTGTAGATTTTAGAAATATTCATTAGAGTGGTACAAATGAAATCACAGTGTTGCATAATGCTTAAAGTCTTTTATCATCTCTGATGTGCTTTTTATATTTTAAGACTTTCTTCAATATATAAATCATATGGAAATTCTTTAAAAACACCATCAACGGTTTACAGACATAAACTTTATGAATTATTAGCGGTATTGCCTCCAAAGACTTATGAAGGTATGTATTTCCTTACAAAGAGATAACTGTTAAAAATACCATAGGCTCATTTTTAAGTTTCTGTTCAACATATATTTGGCTAGCAAGGGTTAGTTCCATCTTTTCTAATAAACAAGTTTCGTTCCCTCTGTTTAGATTTGATGAAATTGTAGTGAAGTCGCTATGGTTTGAAAAGCTGATGTTCATGATCTTTTTTTCCCCCTCTCCCCTCACAAATGCGGACTTTTGTCCTATTTTTAGTTGAAACTTGAAGGCAGACAACCTTGCAATTTTAAACTACCTGAGGAATTTACTTTCTTTGATGCCTGTTTTACTTTCCATTGAATCCTAAGTCCAGGAAGTGTAATCTTAGCATAAACCAGTTGAATCTAGTCCATTAAAAGAGCATTATTTAATTGCTTCAAGTAGACTTATATATTACAGGTATATTCATCTGATTCTGTGCAGATTGTGGATAAAAAATTTGCATTTAAAGAAAAATGTCAAGAAAATCTGGGGATAGGCTCACTTTTCTGTAGCAGAACATAACTAGTAGTATATAAAACCAAATCCTCTAATTAATCCTCTAACCAAATCCTACTACTACGCACTGTAGTTAGACAGGTCTAACAGTTCAACTAAAACATTAAGTATCTTTGTCTTTAAATTGTCATGTGAGTACGGTTTGCTGTAGAGTACTGTATGGACTGAAATAGGAACCGGAGTGTTTCACTGCTGTAAAGAGAAGTACAGGGTATTTCATCAGGACAGAAGGACTATGGGCCAGCCAGCCATGGAACTGGCTGTGTCCTCTGCACCGTGGAGGGAATGCTTACTGAAATAATCTGCTCCATCTAGTGGTAACTGCTAAGTGAATCTTGATAAGGACAAAGGCTTGACCTTTGCCTAAAAGCTGTTGTCGCATTAAAAGTCTGTATGTAACACTTGAAACACAGTGTATAGTAGTCATTTGTGACTTGGACTTCAAAGACTGTCAATGACACCTCCATCCCTTACAGCAAGTTATTTCTTTGGTTCTTTTATGACAGGGGCAATGTTTTGTAGGATACGAACCTTTAGATTTCTGAGGCTGGAGATACTGGGATTTGTTTAGGCTCTGCTTAGTCCTTTCCCACTGTCTTTCTTCCTCTCCAGTGTTTCTCTGGCTGCTTTCTATTATCAATAAAAATCAGTATCTGCTCAAAGAGCAGAATTATGAAGGTTTACTGTGAGTGTGCATGAGTAGTAGATAATTTTTTGCATTGTTTCAGCAATGACAGGAGAAGAATGTATTAGGTTAACTTGAACATCAGTGAAAAATATTTAATGTTCCAGTTGCTGTCGTCTTCATGTGTGAATGGTTAAGACTTCAATTTAGCTGTCACAAAGTATGAACTTGTTAAGCTGGGAAAAGCAGGTTCTGTTTCTAAGATGTTGATTTGTATTCTTGATCATTTTCACATGTCATTAGTTTTGGATGCTGATGGGCTTATGTTCTTGCGGCTAGAACTTTTATTTCTTGTGAAGTAATATAAAAGTTTTAATTATTACAATGTCCAATTTGATAATTTCACACAAATCATTTCAGTAGTTTGAATTTTGGTTATTAGATTTGTTGATGTTTTCTGTGGTCTGAAATTAATGTGTTTTGTCAGACAACTCATTAGTGTTCTTTTCATTCTTCAGCTTTTTGTGCTTGTTATGTTCCACTGTCTAAACCAGAAAATTGAATACAACCGTTCACTTCTCTTGCTTAATAGGATGAGATGAATAGCTAGAATGCTGGAACAGCATTCTGGCCTAAAATTTTGAAGGGCTTTACACTGGGATGATACTATTTGACATGTTGAGGATGGCCAAGTGTTTGGGACTAAAATAAATGTTGATCTGGTAAAAAATTGCTGAGTATCTCCACTAAATTTTATTTGAAAAGCTGTTTTCATAGCAAGAGGATTTTTCAATCATTTTTTTTTATTGTGATCTATAGTAATTTACAAAAGAGCAGTTTTTAGTTGGTTTTAAATATTGTGGTTTTTAAAAGGCTCAGTTTCTGTCCCTTTGACATGGTATCTGTGCATCTTGGCATGTATTTGATAGTGCTAACCTTTTACATTTAGATTTGAGTTAAGCATTTTGGGAAAAATGACATACTTGCTCATTAGTAGGGAGGCAGGCAAAGCAACAGCTGCCTGCAGGGGAGAGAGGCTGCTGGGGAGAGGAGTTTGGGGGGTAGGGGGAGGAAGTCAGCTTGCGCAGGGAGACTGAAGACTCAGGAAGGGTAAAATAGCTGGTTCCAGCTACCGGCTCCAGCCATACAAATGGCTCCGCTTCTGCTCCTGGGGTGCTGACAACCACGTTGTCCCACTTTTGGGAACTTCCGTGTGCTGAAAAATTATAAGCGACTTTAGTGCAAACGGGTAATGGTGCAATCATCTAACAACAAAACTGAATGCAAAGAACTGATAGGTGGAGTTAAACCCCCTTTAATGCTGAGATTTCCCAATTCATGAGGACTTGACTTTGCAATCTTAATGCTTTGGAGGTAAATTCTTATGTAATATTTGCACGAAGAGTGTGTATATTCTTTAAGATCAGTTCTGTAGCGTTTTTCAACACAACTTACCAGATAAGCCTGCCCTTTTTCATCAGATGTGCTTCAGCACTGGAAATGTTTTCTCACTGCAGGGACTATTTTAATAACCTAAAATAGTCTGACTCTGAATGCCTAATGTTGTTGTTTACCTATAATGCACAATCTTGTCTGAAATATTACATACAAAAATATGTGAAAGCTTTAACTACCATTGTAAATTATCATAATGTAACCTACAGTAAATTCCTCATGCTTTGCGAGTGCAAACTCTTGAAATAGAGGAGTACGTTCTGCAGCTTTTGGTTATTTATCAAACTTATGGATGTTTTAAGTTACATCTGCTTGCCAAGTCCAAGTATTCCTGTATGGTTATGTAATACATTCCAAAGCATTAATTTTCAGGAAATTTGTAGTAGAAATATGGCTATGCTTGTAACTGCCTTTTTTCCTCTACTTAAATTGTAAATGTAACTAACTTACTGGATTAGCTGTTGTGTGGCATTATGCCTTCTATAAAGGTAAATATCTCTGTTTTTCAGCATCTAGATTGCTGTATGTGCTTAGTTTGCTTATCTTAGGTAGTGCTTGGTTGTTTCCCCTGTAGCGAGACTGTTCTCTGGTTCACTGTTTGAAGACTTAAAAGAACTGTTAGGTGGATATTGCTATTTCAGTAGAAATATCTTGCTCCCAGAGTTGCTTGTGACAAGTAATTAACTGAAAATTGTGAATATTTTTTTTGTTTTGAAGGAAGCTTCTGTGCTGTTCTAAAAGAGTTAGTGGCTGACTTGACTGTCCCAGATAGCCAGATCGATGCCTCTACTTTCTTGCTTCCACCTCTTTGTCATGAGAATGATCTCCTTTTACTTGGTCCCTTACTGCAGGAGACTGACCACCGATTTATCGAGGAGCAGGTATTTTTTGATCCAGTATAATCGTGGTATTATGCTGTCATACAGTTCCAGTTATTTGGGTCAGTGCTGGTTTTGACTTGGTCAAAAATATTGCTATCACTTTTTTCCTTCTTACAGCTCCTTTTAGGTAACAACATAGCTGGTGGCAGCCTGGAGTATGACCCTTACTCAATTTATGAGAAAGTTGCAAAAGGTGATTCAATACCTAAACCACTACCTCCTGTATTGTCTGTTGTCAGTGCAGCAACTCGTCTTTTTGGAGTTATGTTTTCCCATGTAGCAGAATCTCACAGGTAACGTAGTAACTGTAAATGTTGGGGAATTTGGGAGATGCTAAAAGATGTTCACAGTGTTTGAGATGGAACACAGAAGAACAAAATTCTGAAAAAATAATGAATTATATAAGCAGATTCTGTAAACCATCTGAATAATATAATTCAGACTAACAAATTATTAGACTTTCTGTTTAAAGTTACTCACGATGAAAAGGCACATCCAGTAAGAGGTTACTGTCGTCATAATAAATTCTGTTGACCAAGAAAAATAATGTTTTGCTTAGACAGCCAGGTCAAAATAGAAGTGATTTTAAGCGATATTACACAATTAGCATAGTGCTTGATACATAATTACTAAATGCATTAGAGCCAAAGAGGGACAAAAGGGGTAGGAAACTGTAGTAAAAAATAGCCCTTATCCTGCTCATTCTTTGTAAAAAGTGCATGGGAAGAAACAAGAGTGTGTGTTTTAACACAGTTCAAGGTACAAGAATGCTTGAAAGGGATCACAGACTTCACCTGGTTGTGTGTGTGTGTATGTGTGTCTCTTCCTTCTGCACACATGGCATTTTGGTTTGTTTCACATTTGTAAGCACACGAGTTGCTGAGGCGTGAAATTCCTCAAAATCTCTGCATGCTGTTGCTTATTCTGTGTGCTGCTGGTAATTTTCTTGAATGGAGCATTAGAGCAAATTATTTTTAAATTAAACGGCTCTAAGTTTTCAAAGGCAGCTGTATTTAGACCTTGTGTCATGTTCTTTATAGGTTGTGATGGTTTTGTAATTTCCTGTAAGGGATCAGTGCTTAGCATGTGAGTCCTGAGTTTTGATGTCTTCGCTGCTTAGAATGCTCAGAATAAAGCATAATCCCAAGGAAGCTGTTTGTATATGAGCATACACACAAATCAAGTCACCACGTGCTTTATGATACGTTCTTGTGACTTACATTTCCTTTCTTATTCTGTCTTCACTGACAGCTTTCTTTTTGGTGTTTTTTTTCTGTATATCTGGGCTTTTTGCCACTACTGTCACCAGGTTGCTGGTTGGTTTTCTTCACCTGTTTCTCAGGCCTGAACTAATTGCTGCAGATAACTGCGTTTTCCTTTTCTTTTTCTTTTCCCTCCTTCTTTCTCAATTGTAGGCCAAAATGCATCATTCCCATACACAGCTCCTTTTAATAACATCTGTCCGATGTTACTTAGATATAAGTGATTATCTGTGAATACATGTGTTATAAGGAAACATGGGCAAAAGGTTTGTGTTCATAGGGTAATGACCTATCCTAATATGGAATACAAAATTTTTTTTGTAGTAGAGGGGATGCCAGTTGAAGGAAAATGCTCGAGTTAGGGTAATAGATTTGTTCTGCCTCTGTTTCTATAATATATAGGCTTTGTTATGTGTTTTAAGATAAAATTAAAAATCTTGATTTGTTTCCTTAATTTTTAATTCTGTGGTTTCTTTTCTATTTTGTTTAAGGCTTCAGGTGTTAGAACAGTTGTTGAATTCCATAAAGCAAACAAAAGGATCACGGCAACAAATAGTACAGCTAAATGTTGTGTCTGCCTTTTCTACTTCCTTAAAGGTACCTCTCCTTTGTTTCCCTCCTTTGTTTCTCTCTGTTACTAAAACATGGCATCTCTTGGTAAAAATGTGTCTACACAGTCACAGTGAAGCTCAGTACTGTTTTCTGTGATAATATATTTTTTTGTGATGTCACAGTTTTTTTGAGTGCTGAAGAGTCACAGTTTAGTTTTTCCCTTGTTTTAATGTTAGGGAAATGCATTCTAGTACATTGTAGTATACTGTCATCTGTGCTAGTGTCATTCAGACAGGAGAGAGATGGAAAACTTCTGTTTGTATCGTTTCTGTCTTTGTCGCTGTCTCTTTCATATTTCTTCCTGTATAAAAGAAAAAGTAACGATTGGTAAAACAAAGTAATCTTACAACTATCTGCTATTATCTCATAACTATCTGCCATATGTTGATTTTCCCTGATGCTTTATTTGTATTTTCCACTGTTCTTGTGTAGTTTTCATTCTTCCCTTCTTGGACTTCCTTCAAATTAAGGCAAAATGTTTTCAGAATAGGCAAGACTTTGCAATGTACAATATTTGTGTTTGGGGCATATTTAATAGACAATCCAGAGAACTGCTGTAGTTTTTGCTCATACTCTTTTTTTGGACTAGCATTTTCCTTTGTGTCATTATTCTGTTTTCACTGGTTTTCTTTGTGATATTATTTCTTGAATTTTATGCTAGTGTGTTGGTTTATTATGTTCTACTGCGGTATTTCTTTCTTATGTTCTACAGCCAGTATTTCTTAAAATCAGAATGTGGAGATTATAATGTTGTGCTGTGGTGTACACTTACCTAAAGATAGACTTCTAACAAAATAGCAAATAAAAATAGAGGAATTCCTCAGATAAGAGGGGAAGAAAATCAAATTTCTTCTTCAGCTCTTGTAATTTTTGCTTGAGTGACAGAAAAACACATTCTGATTACTGTCTTACTGTTCGATATATTTGATATCTGGTTTTAGTGCTTGGCTAACTGCAAGGGAAGTTTAGGTCCAGAAGAAATTAGAAGGTCTGCCTTGACGCTGGTAATGGGTGCCTTGGAAAGCAATAATCCACTCCTAAGATGTGCTGCTGCAGAATGTTTGGCCAGATTGGCACAGGTGGTTTCTGACAGTGCCTTCACTGCTGGATTAGCACAAGTCAGTTTTGACAAGTAAGTCTAAAAAAAGTGTGCTAAGTTGCTGGTTGAGTTTATAAAAATGTTTGAGGAATCTACCTGGCCCCTATTATGGTAATAACTTTTAAAAGTTGGTTTCCTTCATGAATTTGATGTCACTTCGGAGATTAACAGGAAAAAGCACTGCCTGACTTCTGCATGTGTTTCTTAGTTTTGCTGATCTTTGAGAGGATTGTCTCAGTAAGCATGTAGAGTTTCAAATAAATTAAATAGGCTGATGTTCTAGCAACATCATTTAAGTGTATCTAAAATATTTTTGGTACTTTCTTCAGATAAGAGATGATAAATGAACTCAGAATTTTGGCAGTATAGCAATGGCTAATAAAATATTTTGCTGATTTGTAGATGTGCTTATTACATAGTATCAGTCTTGGTGATTACACTAACAGCTTTCTTTCCTTGTAATTAATAGGCTAAAATCTGCTAGGGATGTGGTATCAAGAACAGGTCATTCCTTGGCTCTGGGATGTCTGTATAGGTACCTAGGAGGAATAGGTTCTACTCAGCACCTGAATGCATGTGTTGGAATCCTTTATACTTTATCTCAGGACAGTACTTCTCCTGATGTACAGGTACTTGTCACTTATCTAAAAATGTGATGTTACAAATTAACTGATTTATATTCTGGAGTTGTAGTTTTTTCTTGTAAGAATAACACTTCACAACCTCTTAGACGTACCTCACAGGTGATGGCTGGAGCACAAAGCCAACGAAAACCATAGCCCTGCTCAAAATCCACCTTCCAAGCAAAAACTGTGATGAGATATGGGAGGTTCTTATTTAATGATCAGTGAAGCTGATAAGGCTAAGATATGCTGGCTTCAAAAACAATGTCTGATGTTTTAGGAATTAATTTCACATGCACCTGTACCTTGACCTTAACTAGATAGTACCTAGGTTTTTTTGTTCGTGTCAGTTTTTGCCTCTGCTATAAGGCTTACCTCACAGCATTTTTTCTTGAAGGGTTATGTGATAAATAACAGGGATTTGTAGCCTGAATGCTGTACGACTTGGTCAATATACTTCCTTGAATAAGGCAAGATGTTTTAAATTCAAATTATTTCTCTGTGGCTAAAACTGTTGTCTATCGGAATAGCTTTAAGAGAAATTGAGTGTATTCCGTGTAATAAATCTCAGTTAAAGATTTTTTTTTTTTAAGCTTTATTTGCAGTATCTTTACACAGAGAAGAACTATATGTTGACATGAAACAGATGTGGCTATAGGTGCAAAGTAACTGAGACTAAAACAACATGTTTTTTCAGCAAGTCTGTTGTATTTTTTCATAGTTCTCTTGTTCTTGCACATGGGACTAGAAGGAATTTTACAAAGAGTAGCATGTATTTGAGGAATAAATAGTCATCACTATTAACTTAATTTACTATTAGATTAATATTTTTTTAATTAACAGTGCCAAATTTAAAATGATTCTTTCATTGCAGGACATACAGTTCCTTGTAAAATATTCAAAATGGCTTATTAAGCTTCAGGTTCTTAAAGTTTCTTTCTATAGTCTCTCTGTCCCTTTGAAACCTAAAATGCAACTTCTATTACACTTAATTACTGAATTTCACTTGAATGATCAAATTTTAAGAAGATTTTGTGTTTATTCTATCATATAGACAGGACATGACTGCTTCTCTTATTTTACAGGCATGGGCACTACACTCTCTGTCGCTGATAGTAGATTTATCTGGCCCCTTGTATCACGTGCACGTGGAACCTACCTTATCTCTTGTTCTCATGTTGTTGTTGACTGTGCCTCCTGCTTACGCTGAAGTTCACCAAAGTCTTGGTCGCTGTTTAAATGCACTTATTACCACACTGGGCCCTGAGCTGCAAGGTACGCAATACACAATAGTGCCAGCTTTGTTTGGTTTAGCACTGAACATTGTTTGAATGTGTAATTCAAATTTTATCAACACATAAGTGCATACTAAGTTTTTTTTCCTTGTTGTAAGACAGTATTTCACAGGCCGTGAGTTTATACAGTCAAGATGACATGACTGCTAGTTTTCCAAAAATAGTCTCTTTTTGACATCTTTTCCTTTGTTTGAACTGGTTCTCCAAGCCTTGGGCTGAAAATTCTTGCCTTTAGCATGAAAACAGAAAGTATTCAGATTTCAGGAGTTAGGAGCCAGTCTAAATCTTAGTTATGATGCAGGCATTTGAAATTTGTATCTAAATCAACTTTTAGGTACCTAGACACTGAAATTTCCACAAAGCAATGTGACTGTTGCTCATTGGTATCAGAGTATAACACAGATACAGAAAGTATCGCTCAAGAGGATGAGAGTTCTGCGTGGCTTGGGAAAAAGACAAGTTATCATGTTTGGGGAAAATAAGTTGATGCTTTAAAAACAAACACCACCACCCACCCTCCCCATTTTTCTTCTGAATATAGGCAGCAGTGCGACAGTTTCAGCCTTAAGAACTTCCTGTCTCTTGGGCTGTGCGGTGATGCAGGATAATCCCGACTGCCTTGTTCAGGCTCAAGCCATCTCTTGCCTTCAGCAGCTTCACATGTTTGCTCCTCGACACGTCAATTTGTCTAGCCTTGTAAGCTGCCTATGTGTGAGTATACATTTACTAGTCTATATCCTTATATTTTAAAATATTTTGTTCAGAGACACTTAGAATATGCAGATGCTTCTTTAACCAGAGAAAATGATTATTATTTAGGGGTGTTTTATATCCTCCTACAGGCAAGTATTCTCTATTTTTTCATTTTTTTTCCTCAGTTTCTGCTTCCCCTTTGCAAGATGAGCTCATTCTGTAGAAATATTGGCCTTCTGAACCATTTGAAGGTGTATTCTGCTATTTTTATTGAGGCCAGTTGTCTGGCAGGATATACCATCCATTACAACTTTGTGCTGGATTTTTACCAGCTATTTTATGTTGGCCAGTATTTTTCCTCTGCTGCTTTTTATGTCTTAGGTGAAGGATTGACTAAAAAATATTTGTGTGTACTAATTACTGAGAATTGTTTTGTTTGGGGTTTTTTTCATGATGGTGAAAAACCATAAATGTGTCTGTTTTGTAATTTCAGTAGCGCTAATACTTCAGTGTCCTTACTTGTTGGCAGTCAGTATAAAAATTTCTGACACTTAAATAATAGTCAAACTAGGTGTTTGGAAGAAATAAACAAAACTGATTTTCAGCCTATTTAATGAAGAGGTGGAGGGGTTTGTTTATTTTTTTCCCCAAAAGTCTCCCTGTCTTTGAAAAGCTGGTGTTCTTAAGCACTTAGTTCCACGAAGAAAGGAAAAATATTTTTCTGGGAGTTACTAGCCTTGGTGGGTTTTCAGGAGCTAGCTAGGGTTGTGGGGGTTTTTTGGTAGGTTTTTTGGTTTGTTTGGTTTTATTTTTATAAGACCACCTAGTCTCCCTGTAAATGAGGGAGAAACAAAAAAACCTAGACAATAAAGTATGGTGGGTTTTTTTATTCTCTCTTGTCTATCTTAACACAGTTGTTCTTCACACCTTTCCTTGGGTAGCACTTGTATATCCATAGTAACCATATATTGATGCTGTATAAAGTTTAGATTTGTTCCATTTATCTTTATTCAGTTTGACTAGAAACGTGATTGTGGGAGCCAGGAAAAGTTCAAGCCCCACATTGTGTTAGGCATGGATATTCTAGTTACAGAAGAACTGGAACACTGAAGTGTCCTTTCTTTTAACGTATACCAGCTATGATTTTCTCTTCTCTGAGTAAAACACAATTTTTCTTACATTGATAAAATCACAACAAATCACGTAAGACTCTCTCTTGCTCGGGGGGGATGTCTTAGGATTTGGGATCATTTACATGTCCGTGTACAGTCTGCTTCCATGTCCAGTATGATCTTTCTAACTTAATAACAAGTACCTACTAATAAAGAGGATGTCATGATAAAGTTGTCTTGTCTATATGATACTACTAATTTTTGTTGTTTTTACAGATTGTCTCAAAGTACTTCATACAGTACTTTATGAACTTTATAATAATAATTAAATTGCTCAGTTAAGAGGCATGGCTCATGGCTCGAGTGTCTGTGTTTGTGCATTTGTACACACGTGCATGTTCACCTGTGCCCCAGAAATAATTGTGAGCTTCCCAGGGCAGGAGTCCACCAAAGTCAGTGGCCTTACATGGATGAACTTTTCTCATTCTCGTGAACTTGTTACAGAACTATGGCCAATGTTGCTGATACTGACAGTTCAGTAAACGTCAATACGTCTCAAGTGTCAGAAACAAAGAAGGTTTGGGGATATACTTTGCAGGTCTGTGAGGAGATTGTTGCATAAGCAGACTTCTGCATTTCTAAAACTCGCCATCCACCCACATAGTTTCCACCCACTAAATCACCATTTGCTGGGGAAGCAGGATAAACTATTGGACTGGACCTGAAATCTGCTCTTGACTCTGTTGTTGGCTTGCAAGGTGACTCTCAGCAGGTCATTCTCCGTGAGTTTAAATTTCTGAGAGAACAAGGTCTGACTGTCCTCCTTTGCAACGCATTTTGAAGTCTTAAGGGTAATAGAGTGTAAAAGCTGGGTACTAGATACTGTGGATGTTGACCACTGCATTCTTTAAGGCAGAAAAACAGGAGAGGCAAAGAATCTATGGTCAGATAAGTGAGCTTTTCTCTTTCTGTCCATAGAAACATGAATTCTCCCTCATAAAATCTTGAAAACAAATATGCAAAGAATTTTTTTTTTAGTAAGATTTTAACTCCCCTCTCCACCTTTTTTCCCCAAGGTTTCTGGAAAATTCCTGTGTCTTCAAACTTGCCTTTTTAAAATTCTGAAATAGATACTTTCTTTTCTTTTTTGAAAGAATGGTAGCATTAGGCATGCCAACACAATTGCTGTGAGCAGTTGCAAGCTGCTTCCTCCAGCTGTCTGTCCACCCCCTCGAGCATGATGCGGCTCAGGTCCCCAAAGTATTTGGGCAGTTCAGTTTGTGATTATGCTAGCACTAACAGCACATGACTTGGGCAATGGATACACAGCTTCACTGGCTTGTTTTTGGGTTTTCTTTAAATGGTGTGCATGTGGCTGTTACTATGTAGCTTCCCTTCTTCAGCTTCTGAAAGTATTCCTTGTTTGTCAATTGGATCTTTTTTCATGGGGCTTTGCATCTAACAGTAATGCTTATCCTGTCAGTTAAATTCTTGGCTCCAGCAGAGTAGAAATCATATGCTTTTAATTGTGTCTAGCATTAGCTCTAAAGCTAACTTATGTGAGCACAGGTGTCTAAAGAGCTTATCTGTGTAAGCTTATGATGTAGCAAACACCAGTTTTCAGCTGCAAGACATTAAAGATATTTTGAAACACAATAAGTATACAATGTCAATAACTGTGCTGCACTGTTGTCTTGTTGGTGCTGTTTAAGTACTATTTTTAGGGGCAGCTGGCTTGCACTTTGTGTCCAACATTTAGTATAAGATAAATGAACTAAGCAAATTAGGGATTTGGTATGTTTGAGATAAGATTCTGAATTTTAATATGTGCTGAATTTACATGTAATGGTCTCCATGTGTGGTTGGTATCACTGTGATATCTGTATTTTGGTTTTGTCATGACTGGTTTGTCATTTGTTTTTGTGCAGGAAATCTTGTTGGATAATTCTGTGTTGGTAGGTCCCTGTGCCTTGTTAATTCTAAACTTTTGCAGTTTGCAGTGGTGTTTTTAATTTCATCTTTTATCTTTTCCTTTTAACCATTTTAATGTAATTTCTTTTAGCATGTCAAGTGACATTTGATTGTCATCCTAACCAGATCCTTCCTAACTTTCTGCAGATGGTAGACATACATTTCATTTATGTGCGTAGTAAGCCATAATTTTGGTTTCAACATGTTAAGCACAGAAAGGAAACTGTTCGTTTAAGTTTGTATGTGATGCTTGCATTTTGTGTCTATTGCTTAGTCCTGTTCCCTGCTTAGACTGTGGGAGAATGAGAGAGATGAAAAACGTGCATCTTGCATTACTCAGTAGCCTGAATTGGATCCTCTGGTTTTTCCCTATTAAAAATGAGCACGCAATTTATGCATGTCCATTTTGCAGTAGAATGTATAGCCTGCTTGCATAAATGTTGCATTAAAAGCCTTATTGGTTGTTTTTAAAGTTTCAGTTAAATTATCTTGCAGATGTACTTACTGAGTCAGGTTTCTTTTCTTTTAGAAGAATTACTCAGAGATTGTATCTTTGTGTGTATTAAATCTGTAATTCTGAGTATTGTAGATTCATGTGCATGCATAGAAATTCAGAAGACGATGCTTAGTTTTGTTAATTTAATGAAGCTGAAAGTCTGTATCACTTACTCTTTTTGTCCTTAAGTTTTTCTTTTTAACTGTACCATAACTAATACATATTAGTCATTTTGACTAATGTGTATTGACCACTTGCTGACAAATGAGGAGCATAACCTGACTGCAAGATTTGCCTGCAGCAGACACTCAGCTCCGTCTGTTTTAAAGATGGTGACAGCTAAGGGTACACAGTTGCTTAGTTGTAGGGAAGAATTTTTTTGATGATAACCTAGCTGCATAAATATTGGTGTAGCCATCTTGTCTGGCCATACAGCTGGTTCATTTTATCTTTGGGATCCCCTTCAGGAAGTTCTTAAAATTGAAAGAAAGCAAATAAAAATCAGAAAGCTCCACTGTAACAAAAAAACTTGAGGCTATATCTTGGGTTTTTTAAGTCGTTTTCCTTGTGTCTGTAACATTGAATCTGTTATGATGTATTTTTCAGTATAAAAAACAAATACTGGCCTGGTGGTGTTAAAATATGGTGATGCTGTAAACTTTTTTGCTAGAAACTGCTCAGGAGAGCTGACATGTCTCAGTGTGACGCATTCGCCAGTAGCTCTCACCCTTCCTCTCACCTTCTCTAAAACGTAATTTAATGTAATCTGCATATATAATATTTTTGTGATGTAGTTGCAGCAGTGTTCTCTTTGCCCTTTCTTCGAAACTTCCTTTCATGCATGGAGTTCAGATTTGCTAAAGCCTGATTGTCTCACCCTTGGTTACATTGCTGTTTCTCGAGTTACATCTGAGGATAATTTGAGTAATTTTCTCTTGCATGGAGTTTGCAAGCCCATTATATATACCCTGTAGTCAAAGAATAGTTAATTGTTCACTGAGACCACAATTCAGCTGTTATTGAAGTTAATTGAGGTCTTTCTACCAATATCGGTGGGAGTTGGATCAGGCCCCTTTGGAGAGAAAATGTTAGAAGTACTGATATGTTGAAACTGATCACAGGAAAATCTTTCATATGGGGTTTAAAGAAACAAACAAACAAAAAAAAAACCCTGAGAAAAACAGCATCAATTACATGCTTACTGACTTCACAGGTTTGCCATAACTACAGTTGTTCAGAAAATACCAGCCTTACTGAGGTACTGCTATAAAGGTTTCTTAGCCATCTTACTGTTTCTTCTTGCATGTTTCAGGTGAATCTCTGTAGCTCATACTTATTATTGAGACGTGCAGTGGTAGCTTGCTTACGTCAGCTTGTGCAAAGAGAAGCTGCTGAAGTATCAGAATATGCTGTTGCATTAATTAAAGAAAGCAGAGAAGATTTTACTCCAGGTAACACATTGAAGTTTTGAGATCAAAGAGCCTGACACTTTGATAGTGAATTTTAAACACAGTCTGCTACTGGTATGAAAACTTCGCTACATTCTTGAAATCTTTAACTCAAAAAGGTTTTCTGCTTTGGTTTGCTATGTAGTACCAAATTATGGAAGCATCTGAACCCTTGCTTAGTGATAAAACAAAGATACAGTTGCTTTTGGTATACTGTAGATAGTAAGGGTCACTAAATGAGAGTTCCAGAGAAACCTAAGCCTATCTAGCCAGTAGATGTTGTAGTAACTGCTTCATAGTCCTGCATTTTACATGCATATTCATAATTTTATTTTCCCACATAAATCTCCTCTTAAATTAAAGATCTGTCATTGAGGCAAGGTGTACAAAGCCTGTTGAAGAAAGTTTCTGTTGACTTCTTTGGAGAACTAGTTAAATAATGAGCAGCTGGGATCTCTACAATTTTTAGCTTCCTAAATGTTTGGGGTTTTTGCTAAAATGCCTGAGAATGATCAGTAGTTCATCCTCATGTGCCTGCCTGTGAGGGGATGATGGTCATAAATGGATTTCAATTCAGGCTTATTTGGAAGTTTTCAGAAAAGACAGACTATAGCCATTTTGTAAAAATGCTGGTTTTGAAAATTCTAGTATTTGGCAAATAAATATTGGTCATATTCATTTAACAATTTATTTTTGTGTGTCTGGTTTTGAGCTTTGTTGGAGAATAATTTTAACTTCCCTTTCAAGTTAAAACATTGTTTTAGAATTACCTTATGAGTCAGTGTGAAGAATCAGATGGCCAAAGATAGTTTTTTTCAGGAGCTCAGATGCTGTGGTGATGGTAATGCTGTGAAATTCAGAGTAGGATTCTTTTATTTTTTCCCTTTTTTTGCTGTTGTTTTTCTTCCTGTTGTTAGCATGTTTCTGTAAAAGTTCAAAGTTTGTTTTGTACTCAGATGATTTAGAAAGGGTATTAAAGCAATTAATACTATTATTTCAAAAGTATTTCAGGGCTAGATACTTGTTGTTCGCAAGATACTCTCTGCACAACCTTCACTGGTGTTTCTGTGGGCATTACTGCAGATTTGTGATGTACAGCGTTCAGCTCACAGACTTTGTTCTTAGCAGATGTTAACATCAGAGAAATAGGCCTGGAGGGGGCATTGCTGGGCTTGCTGGACAAAGAATTGGATCAACGATTGTGCCAAGATATCAAAGAGACTCTGACTCATATGCTTACTTCAATGGCAGTTGAAAAGCTCTCTTTTTGGCTGAAGCTTTGTAAGGATGTTCTTGCTGCCTCAGCTGGTAAGTCCTAATGCACTTAGTTGAGAACACAATGAAAATAAGGCCTGCAGCAGTGCAGTGTGTGTCACTGAGGGGCAAGTAGTCTTGTTTCTTGATTGTTTGACATTTGTGAAGTGTGTCATCATCCTTCATGTTGAAACTTTGGACCCTTTAACTTAGTTCTTTCAGAAGGAATATGACTTTCTCATTTCTGATTGCTTTTTCTCTGTTGAACAGGTTTTTGTAAACTTTTTAGTATGTCTTGCCTGTCATATTCTGGTTGATTTTTAGTCCTAATGCTAACTTATTTCCGTATCAGAAATGGAAATGCAGAACACATTTGAGCTTGTGGGCCCTGTGCAGTTACCTACAAGAAAAATATTCAGACCGTCTCTCCTATTAGTAATAGGAATGATGCAAACCTACTATAACATAATGAAACTCCTGAGCAGATAAAATTAATTACTGTGCTGAATAATGTGGGGGGAAGAAAGTTCTTTGCTTTTACCTGCAGTGCAGGAGTAAAACTTCTTCGATTTAGATTTTTTGATTGGGAAGGGTACCAGCTTCTGATGTGTCACATTTATTTTAAAAGGATTTTTTTTCTTTCACTTCTTTCACTGCAGTTCTTGATTTACTTTCGTGGTGTTGATCTTTTCTTCCAGCAAGTAGTATCAACTAAATGCAGACGGTTTTGTTACATTCTGTTTTTAATTCTAGCATTTACTTCAAGACACCAAGGTTGAAGGGAGTCGTAGTGACTGGAGGCTAGAGATGGACTTTGAAGAGATTTCCTTATGAGTCCGTCTGTAGTTTTCAGTTACAGTAAGAAAGAATATTGTATTTCTTCCTTTTTTTTTCCATCTGTGTCCTAAATATAGATTTCAATACAATAACTTCAGTAGATACCACTCAAGAAGAGGAAACTGCCAAAGTGGATGATGCATCTGTATTAAAGTCTGACAGTGATGAGAGGTTCCATCCCTTCAGTAATCCACGATGGTCTACCAGAGTTTTTGCTGCAGACTGTGTTTGTAAAATTATAAGCCAGTGTGAAAATGCAGGCAGTGCACATTTTGACGTAACTTTGGCTCAGGAAAGAAAGCAACGTGATTCAAGAGGTATGTGTTAAGCACTGAAAGAATTTCACAGCATGCAAAGTATGCTTACTATAAATGTTAGCTGGTTACATCTTAGTGCGATTCATCGTAAATTTGTTGTTTGCAATCGTTGAAAGCTTTAATTATTCTGATTAGAAGCCTATATTTGTTAAAGTTTAGGGCAATTTTTATTTGCCAAAATATTGGCATATCACTGCAGAATTTACACTCACTTTCCTGGTTATAGCACTATGGCATACGTGTAGGAAGCCATTGTTTCTCCATAAGCATTGGCAATCAGAAGTGACAGCTGGCACCAGCCTACAACATCACAGTTTGGTATCTGGCAGTATGACTAAAAAACTCCACTTTTTTTCCCTTCCATAATTTGCATAATTACCAGTAGAAACACAGCGCCAGTTTTCAGTACCTCTCTATGTTTATCTGGAGGTATTTTCCTCAAAACTGTTTTTTAGAAAATCTGGCTCATACATAAAGATATCTATGCTTTATTCTAAGTACTTTTTTTTACATTCAAATGGAAAGGAGCCTAGATTAGCTAACATAAGATGTCCAAGTGAGGTTGTTGTCTGTGTAAGCTGCTGTAAGTGAATCCTTGATATGCGGTGAGGTAAAATGTAAAACATACATTTGAAAATGTTGGGAGCCTAAATTTAATAAAATGATTTTCTTTTTTAATTTCTGCTTTCTCTTCAGATGACTTTTTGGTATTGCATTTAGCTGACTTGATCCGTATGGCTTTTATGGCTGGGACAGATCACAGTGATCAACTCCGTCTTTCTGGGCTTCAAACATTGCTAATTGTTGTTCGGAAGTTTGCGGCTGTTCCAGAACCAGAGTTTCCGGGTCATGTAATTCTGGAGCAATATCAAGCCAATGTAAGCACCATTGCTAATAACCTAAATGAGTTTAGATTTGCAGTTAATCGCTAAAAGAAACTTGCTTTTTGCAGTGCATAGTGCTAAAGTTGGGTTTCGGTTAGTTTGTTACTGAAACGATTATTAATTTCTTCCCACTTCCTTAGAAAGCATCTTTTCAGTTGGCACATAATGTTTTAGCCCCAAAGTTTTTCAAGTGTCAGCATTTTTCCCTCTTCCTTATTTGAATACAGGAAAAAGAAAATAGAATATCGAGGGGTTTTTTTGAAAGCATTGGTTTTAAAGTGTGGAGGTCTTGCAAGAAATATTAGAAACAACTTTTGTTTAAAACTCTGCTTAGAAGTAAGTAGCCTTTGCACACCAGAGATCACACTAGGAGATCCTGGTCAATAAATAAACTAGAGGAGGTAAAAGCATGGATTGTACTCATAAGGTCTATTTCAGTTAAGTCTTGGTTGAGACTTACAGAAAAGATGTCCTCATCATTTTTCATTCCAGACTGCGCTTGCGTTAAGTATGACAGGCAGCTATGCTAAGCCTCATCTGGCTCCCATTCTTTAGTTTCTAGCAGGCATTGAATAAGTCAGATCACTTTCTCTCATAGAAATGGAGAGATCCTGACATGGAAGACATCCTAACCCACTTTGATCTTGCTTTTGGTGTTAGAATTCTGTTCCACTGGCATTTCTTTGTGATAAAGGAGAAGTGCCTTGACCTAGGCTGGAACTACTGAGGAAAAAAAATGTCCAAAAGCATCAAGCAGGTCACAAGTAGAGCTGTTAATTCTCCTTTTAACCTTCACTACCCTTAAAGTGTTTCTGCTAATAGTACGCATAAATCTTCTCATCAACTGTTTCATAGAAGTTGAAGAGATGTGAAGCAGTTAAATATCTAGTCTTGTCATTTTTTTTTCTCATGACAATAACAAGAAATAGATGGATGTAGATTTTTCCAGACTCAAGTAATGGTTTCCAGAAACCTTGTTCAGAAATTCTTAAATGAAGTCTGAGCTTTAGGGGGGTCTTAAGAAACTGTCATTAACTGTCATTAAAAACAACTCGTTTTCACTTCTTTTCACAAACTTGTATTTTTAGTACTTATGCTACACTTTCTACTTTCATCCCAAAGAGCATCAGAGTTTTCAGGTATCAGCTAAAGCAGCAAGGGAATTTTTCATTAGCCTTTAGTGAAATATCCTTGAACAGTGAGAGTAGGTAAAATCTCTGCAACCTGGTAAATATATGTTTGTGTGTTTTTTATTAGGTGAATGGGGTTTGTACTCTCTCACTTTGCAAAGTTGACCAACTTCAGATGTTTGTTTCCTGAAATCTGTGTTCTTTCTGAATAAGGAAATGTCACTGATTAGGTGCCTTGCAAGTCTTTCATGGATTGGAACATTGTTTTTTCTTTTGAGGGCTACTCATCAAGTTAAGAGCTCAGGAAGGAAGAGGTTTCTGTTTCAGTTTTAGACTGTGCAAAAAACAGAATAAACTTTGAAGACCCCTCTCGGAGAGAACCATGTCTTCAGTGTAAGCAAAACAGAAGTTGACTGCAGCTGTCTCCCTGCTCTTTAACCCCGCTGAAACAGCCTGTGGAAAAATGAAAAGGAAACTATGCTTTATAAAGGAAAACTGCAACAAAGCCTGCTTGTGAAAAGTAATTATTTAGTTAATTGTTCACGATGTATTAAATGCTGTATAACTTCTCTTTAGGTTGGAGCAGCGCTTAGGCCTGCCTTTGCTCCCGAAACTCCTCCTGATGTCACAGCAAAAGCATGTCAGGCAAGTGTTGAAAGTCAGAAGTCTGAAGTAACAGACCCTCTGAAGTTTTCTTTTTGCTCGATGTGCCACACAAGAAAAAGGAAATAAATCATCATCTAGCCTCAAATCCTCGGTGCACACAAAATGATGTCACCCATGTTGCCTTTATATTGTAACAACTCAAAGATCTTAGGCACTTTAAAAGCTTCTGAGAAAATTTGTAGCAGTTGGTACTTTGGCTGTTATTTATGACATCCCTCTAATGTTTTTTGGTTTTCATGACTTACGTGTACTAAACTGTAATGTCATTTAACATGGATTATTATCCAAGAGTAACTGTATCTCCATAGAAATGAAATGTGCTTTTCATAATTTTAGAGATGAAAAAAGAGTATCCAGTGGTGTTTGGCTCTTGTTTCTCATTATTTCTGTTTTACAACACTAGGTGTGCAGTGCCTGGATAGCAAGTGGTGTAGTAAGTGATCTTAATGACCTTCGAAGGGTTCACCAGTTGCTCGTATCCTCTTTGATTAAAGTGCAGGCTGGAAAAGAAGCACAAAGTCAACAATATAATGAGAGCACCTCAACCATGGAGATACTGGCTGTGCTTAAGGCTTGGGCAGAGGTTAGTGTAACAGCTCTGTAATGGTAGTCTTGCTATCTGGTAGGTGAGTTGGAACCTTTCAGACAAAATGATTTCAGGAATTTCGTACATGCTTCATGAAATAGAAGTTGCTGGTCCTGTGCTTTGCTTTGATACCTCTAAACAGTACATGAACTTTGTAAACTTGACAAAAGCACTGCTAGTTAAAGTTTGTATTATACTATACATTAAGAAATACGAATTTCTTAACATGTTCTAATATTTCAACATTCCTTTTAAATTGGCATGGTATAAGTGGTGATGGTGATGGTCCACTGAATGTACCGTTTTAAATAGGTGTCATTTTTCTCGTTGTCTATTGGTATTTAATTTCTTACAGGTAGTACTTATAAGTTAACAATGTCAGTTAGACACTGCACTGGCTAACTGCCTTAAAGTCAGCTCATGTGAATGCCTGTTTTAAGACATGTAAATGCAAGGTTACATATTAAAAAATAAAAAATATGAACAATGTACATAACCTCTAGAAGAATGTGTCTTGGCACTGATAATGACCTTGGATGCTGACAGTTGATAACCAGCTAAATATGAGCATATTATATAATTAATATTATATTTTTCTGTATAACCAGGAAGCTATTTCGAAGGAGAAAGCAGGCAATAGATAGCTTTTATGTGAACATTTGTAGAAAAATATACCAGCCTTTGGTGTCCGTACTCGAGAAAGGATATTGGCAAATCAGGAAAGCCATTGGAGAAAAGCTAGCAAGTGAGAATAAAAATCCTGAAAATATACTTACACTGAGAGATTTAAGTAGATCAGTCTATTTCATCTAGTCAGGAAAAGATAAGGTGTTGTGATCAATTTAAAACTATTACATGGAGAAAAGGTTTTTAATGGCATATAACAACAACCTATCACTGATCAGAAACCGAAACAACAAAATTCAGACTAGATGTGAGGCTCAGCTGTAAGAAATGAAGATCGGTAAATTGTTCCAGTCTATAATAGACTATAGTAGTCAACCCACTACAAATACTAAACTTGAAAAAGATACAGAAATCGTCATTGCAGGAGACGGATACTCACAAAAGGTAACTTTAGATTAGTTGAGCTGGTCTCCTGTGTCTGCTTTATATTTGAGGAGAAGAGCTTCCCTCTATGGGCATTTTGGAGAGACCAATGAGGGCTGCTGGTCTGAAACATTCTCAAGCCAATTTTTTTTGATAACTAGAGAGGCATCTAAGGAAGTTAACCTTCTCACATTGAAGTTAACTTAGTGATGATAACACCCAAAGTTTGCAAATGATGTAAGACTGTACTCTTCATTCGTTACTGCTAACACTGAGTAATACATAGTTTTGAGAACTTGGTTGCAAGTACAAAATATCATTTCAGTTTAAAGAAGATTTAGGAATGATTTGACTGTGGTTTCAGTGTCATGATTATAGGTACATTATTTGATAGTAAGTTCTTCAGTCTTGTCACTATAACAGAGTTTGATTGTTGGAAGCTGAAGCTGGACAAGTAATACATTAATTTTTAAAAGCAAGGAAGTTAACTGCAGCTATGTTTAGGAATTGTAGTAGATTTCCCTTTATTGGCACTTTTGCATCCAGATTAGCTGGGGGAGTGGATTCAGAAGATTTAGAAAATAAGTGGTTATTCACCTGTGCCTACTGGACTTGAGTCAGGAATAGATTCTAGGAAACCTCATGGCTGTTCAATAGGCAGCCATGCTAATCATCACAATAGTTTTCCAAGTGTTGATATTTGTAAATCTCTCTCCAAATATATAAACAGGTTTACATAGTTGCAGTTGAAAAGCAGAAAAATCAAAGTGATGCACACAATCACTGTTTAAAAATTGCGAACTCTACAGAAGAAAGCTACAGAGATGTAACATCTTCAGCCAGTGGAGTTCTGGACTTAGTACAGGCAGATCTTGGAACACTAAGCAAGCTCTGGCTTGCTGCACTTCAGGATTTTGCTCTCTTAACTTTGCCTTCAGAATATGCATCGCAACTGCCTGCTGAAGGTAAGAAGGCAAATCAATTGTATTTTCATATGCAATTTGTAAGTGCACATTATTAATGTCCGAGCTGACTTGTGCTAAGATCACAGTAAGATTAAATTGTAGAGGGAACATGCATACTTGTGTACCTATCTGAGGATAAAGACTGCTTTTGAGAACAGGCTGCACTGATGTGAAGAGTAGTTTGTTTGGTATTCTTATTTGTCAGGTAATTTTATCATTGAAAGAAGAAAAAGGTAATTGTATTGGATTCTATCAAAATAAATCTAAATGACGTGCCCTCGTTAGCCTAAAAAAAAAAAAGTTATACATAAAATATGATAAATATAATTTCAATAAAAAGAAAAACCCCCTCTTAAAAGAGTGAGAAAATATGGTAGTTGAAAACAAATGACATCCTTAAAACTGTAACTTCTCTTCTTGCAGGTGGTACATTTTATACAGCAGAGACAATTGAAAATGCCAGACCTCATTACTACAACTCCTGGGCGCTGATACTTTATGCTGCAGCATTATGGCTTACTAGCACAGGTTTCATCATTGTTGATCCAGATGAAGGAGTTACTAATCTCTCTAGACCTGTCACTCCAACTACAATGTGTCAAGATTCTTCTACCAGGCCCTTGGTGAAATCTCCTGAGGATGTGAATACTGACAGATTTCATCTTATCTTGGGTTAGTGAGTGCATAATCTATCTAGATGCTGTAACCCAAAATGTCATTTTAATAGATAAAACTGTTAGCATACAAATATTTAATTATTCACATTTAACTGCATTGTTGAGTATTGCATCTCTTAGAAAAATATACAGTCAGAAGAATTTGAAGTCCTAGTGAGAAAACTGTAGGACGTTTTCCCAAATGTGGTAGAAAAAACACCCAGTGTGAGCTAAACAAGTCCTAAACATGCAAGTTCAAGGGTGGATTTTATTGCGATTGTAGCACTGCAGTTACAGAGGGTACAGTTTTACATCACAGAACAGTGGGTAGGTTGGAAGGGACTTGTGGAGGTCATCTCGTCCACCACCCCCTGCTCAAGCAGGGCCACCTAAAGCCAGTTGCTCAGGACCGTGTCCAGTCAGCTTTTGAGTATCTCCATGGATGGAGACTCCACAGTCTCTCTGGGCAACCTGTGCCAGTGCTTGGTCACCTTCACAGTAAAAAAGTGTTTCCGTAAGTTCACATGAAGCTCTGCAGTAGCAGAGGCTAGTCAGGCAGTTGAATTCAGTCCCAGTTCTCTACATCTACACAGTTAGGTGTTTCTGGCTGTATTTTTTTCTTTGGTCTGTCTTTTGTATCCTTCTTTTGTAATCCCTTTTTTGAGTGGGTTTGTATGACCCAAATGCGCATGGCTTCTTTTGAACCCCAGTCTTCCCCGCACAGACCCAGCTTCCTTTTGAACTCCGTTGCTCCCTCAGTTAAAAGTGGGACCTCTGGTATAAAAGCTGCTCATTTCCACTGCTTCTTATACTGCTTGATTAGTGCTTCAAGTTCCACATGCTTTGCCGTAGACACCTGGCTTGTTTATTCTGCTTTAGAACATATTCACAGAATCACAGAATGTTCGGGGTTGGAAGGGACCTCTGTGGGTCACCTAGTCCAACCCCCCTGCCGAAGCAGGGTCACCTACAGCAGGCTGCACAGGACCTTGTCCAGGCGGGTCTTGAATATCTCCAGAGAAGGAGACTCCACAACCTCCCTGGGCAGCACTGTTCCAGTGCTTCCACTTGTTTATTTTCACTTCCTGCAGAGAAACTGAAAGAACTTTAAAGCAGGGACACTTTCTGTTGCACAGTAGTTCGTTACTGTACATTGCTCAGTTTCCCAAGTCATCACACATTTCAGAATTACAGCTGTACAACTGGGATGAGAATATGGATCACAGTTTTTATGATATTTATCTTCAATGTCACAAAATGTCATCTGAAGAGTCCTGAAAGCTCAGAAAAAAAGTGATTGTTTTTATCTGCTCTAGGATTTGCAAGCTTAGGCTTCAAGTAATTTACTCATTGCTGGTGATCCAATTGTGGTAGCTGCTATCTTTAGCATTTTTTGTAAAATGGGAAAATAAAGTTCAGCCTTTGAGTTTGTGAACTATTATTACTTTCTCCATTATTTCTTTCTATTACATAAAAAGGCAATAGGTGTGATTAGGCAAATATTCTCCTATATACTCATTATGAATTGCCTGCCTGTGCATTGGACCTGGAGTTCAGTGTTTTACTCAGAAATTGCTCTAGTTTTTCACTTATTTATGTTAATAGCCAGTTATAATCATGTCTTACACTGTCTAGAAGCTGAAGTTCTTTCATTGTTTTGAGGGAAATAGAGTTCTTGCCCCAAGATATTAGCAATAGGAGATTAATTCACTTAATATTGCAAGTGGTCACCTTCACAGTAAAAAAGTGTTTCCGTAAGTTCACATGAAGCTCTGCAGTAGCAGAGGCTAGTCAGGCACTTCATATTGCAAGTGGAAGAAAATAAGGTTATCAGGAGTAGTCAGCACGGATTCACCAAGGGGAAATCATGCCTGACCAATCTGATAGCTTTCTACGATGACATGACTGGCTGGGTAGATGAAGGGAGAGCCGTGGATGTTGTCTACCTGGACTTCAGCAAGGCTTTCGACACAGTCTCCCATGATATCCTCCTAGGGAAGCTGAGGAGGTGTGGGCTGGATGAGTGGTCAGTGAAGTGGATAGAGAACTGGCTGAATGGCAGAACTCAGAGGGTTGTCATCAGCGGCTCTGAGTCTAGTTGGAGGCTGGTAACAAGTGGTGTCCCCCAGGGGTCAGTACTGGGCCCAGTCTTGTTTAACTTCTTCATCAACGACCTGGATGAAGAGTTAGAATGTACCCTCAGCAAGTTTGCTGATGACACCAAACTGGGAGGTGTGGTAGACACACCGGAAGGCTGTGCTGCCATTCAGTGTGACCTGGATAGGCTGGAAAGTTGGGCAGAGAGGAACCTGATGAGGTTCAACAACGGCAAGTGCAGGGTCCTGCACCTGGGGAGGAACAACCTCATGCACCAGTACAGGCTTGGGGTGGACCTGCTGGAGAGCAGCTCTGCGGAGAGGGACCTGGGTGTCCTGGTGGACGACAGGTTAACCATGAGCCAGCAGTGTGCCCTGGCTGCCAAGAAAGCCAATGGGATCCTGGGGTGCATCAAGAAAGAAGAGAAGGCTGCGAGGGGACCTAATAAATGCTTATAAATATCTCAAGGGTGGGTGTCAGGAGGATGGGGCCAAGCTCTTTTCAGTGGTGGCCAGTGACAGGACAAGGGGCCATGGGCACAAACTGAGGCACAGGAAGTTCCGTCTGAACATGAGGAAGAACTTCTTTCCTCTGAGGGTGATGGAGCACTGGAACAGGCTGCCCAGGGAGATTGTGGAGTCTCCTTCTCTGGAGATATTCAAGACCCGCCTGGACAAGGCCCTGTGCAGCCTGCTGTAGGTGACCCTGCTTTGGCAGGAGGGTTGGACTAGATGACCCACAGTGGTCCCTTCCAACCCCTACTATTCTGTGATTCTGTAATATAAAATGCAAATGCTATTTCTGTGTCTGCCCAACTTACTGTTAGGTTACTTAGTAACTGACAAAATTACTTCTTAAAATTTCAAGCATGTACAGGTTTTTTTCTTCTGATGCTTACAGGAATTAGTGTGGAATTTCTCTGCTCTCCTCGATCAGATGCAGCAATGGAGAACATTATTGCCTGCTTACGTGCCCTACAGGCACTCTTCGATGTTCCGTGGCCAAGGTCAAAAATAGGTGGTGATCAGGTAATATCTTAATGATCAAAAGCCTCCCAGAATTAAGGCATAATTTTGGTTTGAATAGTATGTCTGCTCTCTGCTATATATCCAGGAATCTTCAACACATAAATAGTAGGTGAATTATATGCTTTACCAAAATCCAAAGCTGTAGAGGGAGGGAGGAGAGAAAGTGAGCACGACATGGAACCTGTGAGAAGACAGTGAGGGGCAGAGAACTTGAGGACATTTTGTCAGGAAGGAGAAATTAGATGAGTAGGATGAGAGCCAGGTAAAGACAGAATTCCAGACAAAGGAGTTCTCTTCCTCTCTCTGTCAAGGGAAAGTTCAGTTAATTCTGTTGTAAATGTTGAAGATGATAAAAAGAAACTGGAGAAAAGCAGTGGTATTCTTTAAATTATCTTTATACCAGCCTGTGTGCCATGCAATTGTCTAACACAGCGAAAGTGATAAAGCCTGTGGACATGCCCAAGTTCTGCTGACTGTTGGTGCTCTCTCCAAGGACATGCATATACTGTAGGAGGGATACAATGCAGTATCCTCACCTTCAGGAGTTAAAAAGCCATAAGATATAGATTATTTGGGTTTTTTTCAGTAGTTTTAATTGTCATATCTCTAAATTACCATGATTACTATTTTGTTGGGAGAATTGAGCAGGGTTGCTGCTACTGGAGCTAGGAGCTAGATGTTGAAGAAAATGCCAGCTCTTGTGATTGTATCAATTATACTGTGTCCCTTTGTGAGATTAAGAAGAGTAATACTGTGGGCTTTAACAAGTATTAACAAGAGTTTAAAATTCCTAGTATTAAGCGTTTTTCTTACTGTAGGAGTTGGGTGTAGAGCTGCTGAATGTTTTACATCGACTGATACTGACTAGAGAATCACCTGATATTCAGCTTGCTGCCCTTGAAGTAGTTCGGCTGATTCTTTTTGCAGCTCAGGAACATGTGAAGGAAAAGCGGAGAAGTGCAGAAGGTACAGTAGTGTATGAGATGTTGAATACATATTATCAGGGTTAAAGCGATTCTTTCTTGGAAACCTGGATCATTGAAGGTGATATTCCAAGACGCATCTTAATTGAAGTGTTTCACAGTTGGCGACTAATCCTGGTTTACTTCAGTCCGTCTGGGTGGCTGACATAAGAAATTGGGGTGGTTTTGGTGGTGACTAGAGGGCATGAAGTGAGGAGGGGAACTGCAGAATCTGCAGTTGGGGTAGTCTTGTGTGGTGTCAGGGAGCGAGGAGTCTTAGTGCAAAGCTGGGATCAGCTGTGGTAGAGCAATGGAGAGACTCGGCACACATAGCTGTTACAAGCCAGACTCCACGAGTTGCTCTGATTGTAACTTCCTAAAGTTCATTTTCTAAAACTAATAAACTGGGAGAAGAATCCAAACACTTACATCAGGTGACATCATATTGGCATGGTGCCTTAGCACGTTGTACGTGTAAATCTAGTGCACACACTTCTTCTGCCTTTTGTCAGCCAGCACGTAGTGTGCTTACTCAGCAGGATGGATGTTTGCCAGTAGAACTTTGAATCTGTATGCCTGCACATGTATGTGTATCATGATTGTCACTTGGTGGCGAAACAGTCTTAAGAAGTAGACTTTTTAGAAACAAGGTACAGCCTGTAGATTTCTGCCATATTTCTTCTTTTTGTTTTAGTTGATGATGGTGCAGCAGAAAAGGAAACGTTACCAGAATTTGGAGAAGGCAAAGATACGGGAGGACTGGTGCCTGGGAAATCATTAGTCTTCGCAACACTGGAGTTGTGTGTTTGTATTCTTGTCAGACAGCTTCCCCAGCTCAACCCAAAATTAACTTGTAGCCCTGCAGTTCATTCAGGAAAGCATCTGTTATTGCCAGAAGATGGAAGTAGACTGGTAGTGGCAGCATTAGTTATTCTCTCTGATGTTCCTGCAATCTGCTCTCCTGAAGGTATGGTGTTTCATCACAGGAAAAGATTAATGAAAGAATATTGGGCTCTTGTGAGCCCCCGTGTTATTACCTAATTTTCTCAGCTGGATGAGTCCGGCAGCAGGTTTTGTTGATTTGCTTGTGACAGTTTCCTGTTCTAATTATTTTTTTTAACTGTCAGATTATAAAACAAGTTACAGAACTGAAGCAATTAAAGGAGCAGTTTTTCTTTTCCTCCCACATGTAGCAGTGCAATTAATAGATTCATTTTGTAAAGGGAAGTATACAATAGCTACATGTTTATATTCTACTTGAATTGTCTATTCTGGAAATTATAATGCAGACAGAAATTAAAAGGGAAATGTATCATGTTACCTTTCTCTAAAAGCCATCATTTGAACATTAGGAAACCACTGCAAGGAGTTACAGCTGATTTCTCAGATTAGTTGACTTTTACCTATAATTCATTTTGGACTCACTCCAAACTTTAAGATGGTGGTTGTGTCCCATGTCCCGTCCCCCCCGTCCTCCCGCCAATGTCATATCCATACGTATGATCTTTCGGTACTGTCACAGCCACACCTGTACACCATTTCTGCCCTACCCCTTTGTTCCCACCTTAGGTAGCTGTGTTACACCTTACACACATTTTTGCATTTACCAGCCCTGGAAATTTTTTAGTTTTTCTTAGTTTGTTCTCTGTTACAAGATTCTTCTTCAGGGGATGGCATACTCCAAATGGAATAGTAGGCAGTTCTTGCTATCATTGTAGGGTTATGAAGTGATTTCTCTTTTCCATCTGCAGCTCACTGTTTATCGGTTCAAAGCAAAAGGAAACAAACACAGCATCACGAAGCTATGAGGGCAACTATCTCGTATGAAAAATAATCTGTGATTTTTCTTTTCTCCCTGTAGTTCTTTTTTGGCTTTAGCTGTTCATGTTATTCTATAAACTAACAGTTTGCAGGGTGAGACCAGATGGGATGTTTACACTAGAGAACTTAGTCACCTGATTTAAATGCTTAAAATGAGGAGCTTAAGCTTGCTTATACAGTCGGTTGAATAAGGAAGCATCTCAAAAAGTCAACTCGTATAATCAAAGAGAAGAGAATTCCTGTGTGGATATGCATCATTTATTCCCCTTTAGTAGAGGTAACTGAAGTTACATCCTGTGACTACCATGTCTCTTACTTCAGGCACCTGTCATGATACATATGCATAATAAAACTTTCAAATAAATGGTGCTCATGAATTGCATTTCCTAGTGAATTCCAAGTCAATTTTCAGAGACTTGGCTGTTTAAAAATAGAAGGTAGATGTCCTCATGTTCAGAAAATACTTATGCATATGTCAGAGACCCTCATTGTTCAACAGGTCTCTCACGAACATCAGTATATTAAAATCTTAAAAACATAGGCATTTTGCTGATTAGGGAAGGACATAAGCATATTAAGCCATATGCTTAACTCTGTGTTTTGCTGAATCAGAACTTAGGAGCAACACATAAGTAGGCAGGTTTCTAGATTGTCTCCAGTATGTGCAGAATTCTGTATTAGTATTAGGTTCAAAGACATAAGAATATGCAAAACTGCTATGCCAAGTTATTCCTGCAATTTTTTTTTTTCTTTATAGTCTCTTATTCTGACAGGTCAGCTGTCAAATTCTCAGGGAGAGATGAAGATCTGTTCAGTAGGCTGTGGGACAATCTGCTTCTCTCCTTAGGTCTCCTCTTTTCCAAAATATTTGTTAGTCTTTTATTATAATTCTAGGAATTTTTGTTACACATTTTTAGTCTGAGATCCTCCTTTTATAAATCTTACTAAATTCTTGACTTTAGTGATTTCCTGGAGCAATGACGTCCTTAGCTAACTGCACGTCATACAGGAGAAGTATTTCCTCTTACCAGTATTGAAATTACCCTCTGTTAATTTCCTTAACTGTGTTGTCTTCATTGCAAAATATGCTTAGATGGTCACAGTTTGTTTTCTACTATTCAGTACTTTGTATACTTCCATAGCTTCTCTTCTTCTCAGTGGTTCTGATCTTTCTGTTCTTGCATTTCACCGAGAATGACATAATTGCACCCTTCATATAATGAAATAATCAAGGAAAAGTTATACAATGCTAATTTAAAAGGGGATAAGGTTTAACTTCACTTAAGTAGTCTGACTCCATGTTTGCTGTAGCAAGTCACGTGATATTTCAAATCTTTCTTCAAATTACCAGTGCCTCCACTCACACAGGTGATTAAAAATGATAAATTATAAATACAAAGGAGAATCCAAGAAAACTGATTCAATTTTCTTTTAATGTGACAGGTACCTGATTTTTTTTCAACTTCTGTGAAATCAGTTTGCTTTGTTTTACAGGAAGTGTTTCAGTTCTTCCTACTATCTTGTACCTAATTATTGGAGTACTTAAAGAAACTGCTGTGAAATTGCAAGATGGCCAGTTACCTTTGACGGTTGCTGCATCTTTACAAGCTCTTAGAGGACTATTGTCTTCTCCAATGGCTCGAGCAGAGAAGAGTCGGACTGCTTGGACTGATCTTCTACGTAGCGCTTTGGTCACAGTGCTTGACTGCTGGGATCAAGGTAAGCACAAACGGTGGGTTTTGTGTGTTTAAAAAAAAAAAAACAAAACCAAAAATGTTTGGGTGAAAGGTTGTTTTGTTTTATTTAAATTAAATTCATGCACATCTTAAAAAAAAGAGTAATATCTTAGTCACAGGAGAATTAGTTGGCTACCAAGTACTATTGAAACTATATTGCAATCTTCTCCCTACAGTTCATATGAGAAGTCATCATCTGTGAGGTATAAACGTGGGATTGCAGGCTTACCCTGTATTATGTAGTGCTACGGTGTAGTTACATGATATAATGGAATAGACAGGAGTTACGGCTTCGGTGTACAGTTGAGCATAAAAGACAGCTGTACTGCATACAGGTTCTCCACAGGGAATTACTGTCTATGTTGAAGCAAAGGGTATTAAAACAGTACTTCAAGAAAAGGTATTTTTCTTGTGGTTTTCTATGTGCTGCTTCTTCAGCTTCCCAAGTTTGTAGTATTTTTATCATTCCTTACGTTTAATCTCTTAAATTATAATTTGTTGTTGGAACTTTGGTTTATAGTGCTGTTTTTTTAAGCTATAGCAAAAGAATGTATATGTTCTTAATGCAAATTTTATATTCTTCTCAAATAGGTTGTACTCTAATATGTCATGCCAGCTCTTACTTATTTTACTTTATACAGAGAAACGATGAAATAGGAGTATGCCATTATTTTTAAAGATGTGTGTAACCACCCCTGAATTCCCATTTTGCCCTTGGCTTTTATTACAGTAAAAGTCCGTATCAGTGCATCAGATATGTCATATATTTGAAAAAACAGATTCCTCAAGAAATGTAGACAATATTTCTGTTCCACTTCTTCATAACACTTGAATTCATACAATTACTTTTTAATGCAATCTAACAGACTGCTTACTTTATAGTAGATGGGCTCCTCCGAGAACTTGATGAAGTTAGTCTGCTTACTGCTATTACAGTATTTGTTATGTCTACCAGTCCAGAAGTTACTACCGTAGAGTGCCTTCAGAAGCGTTGTATTGAGAAGTTTAAAATAACACTTGACTCAAAAGATCCTCTTGTAAGTACTGGTGAAGTTATAAGAATATCAGTATTACATTAATTGGACTTTAGCTTATTTTCTGTTCAGTTGTTTCAGTTGTCCTGTGTGTTTATTCCAGTTTCTTCTGTCCTGACTGTAGCTGTTGCATTTTAAAATACAGATTGAACAAGTTACCAAGAACATGTCCAGCAGTGCATATTTTATCATTTTTTTTATTCCATATACAATTCTGTATTTTTATGATTTTTTTTAATGACATGAGACTCAGAAAATTGTATTTATTATCATTGCAAATACAAATGACTTTTGTAGGAGTTGGGACTTCCTCGCTCTGAAAGTCCAGCTCTGAAAACAATAAGATTTCATGTTTGACTGTGAGAATACACTGTAAACTGGTTTTCTTGCATCTTCTCTATATATATTCATATAGTAACAAAAAATTAAACAAAGTTACCTTTACTTCAGAAATAGCTGTAAGAAAGTACTTTTTCATATACTAACACATTTCTAGTATTACAAACATTGGTTTCCACCGATAGGAAAAGGGATGCCAAAAATGACTGCAAGAAAACAGTACTGTGCATTTGCAAATTTTATCCAAGTGTTTGGGCATCTGAGCCTTTCAGAAATGATGTAGGAAGCAGAGAGTTTCAGTCCTGTTGACTTCCAGTGACATGCACGCTACTGCACCATTGGAGGCTTTTTAAAATTGTGCCTACAGTTTGACAGAGGTAATGCTTCCATTTTAAGCAGCTGTTTTCAGTCAGCTGTATTTTTGCAAAAAAGAGTATGTTTTCAAAACAGCACTAAGATATAATCTTCACCCCAAAATAACATTTTTTCCTTAACTCAAAAATGTAGGAAGATGTAGGGCTTGTTGGAAAGAAACAGGAAGCATCATCTGGTTTCTCTAAATTTGATGACAAGTTATAATTATAATGCTCCTATAAAGTATTACGCATTAGCAACCTACAACCTGATGAATTTTCAAGCTGTGAGGCACATTTTTGCCCCTCCTTAAAATTTTATCTGACAAGCTGTGAGTTTTAAAACACTCTGACTTGTATTTTTAAGTATAACACTTTGTAACTGCAAATTTGATTTTCCCTTTAGGTACAGTGCAAGTGCTACCAGCTGCTGCACTCCATCTTTCAGCATCCACACAAAACTGTGTCATATCCTTATATTCACTCTTTAGCACCATCCATTGTGGGAAAACTGCAGGAAACAGAAAAAGCAAAACCTGAAAATGCTGCTGAACTGCAAGTCATTCAGGAGGGAATAAAGGTGGTTACAGCTCTTACAGCCACTGCTGAGGAAGAGCACCGTAAGTTACTGCCGTTATCGTTACCCAAAGCATTAAACATGCTAAAAGTTGCCATAAATAACAAATCAAAACAAAACGACCACTAGGAATTCAGTCTTGAGCGCTAATTGCTAACAAAATTGCCAACAAGAATGTCAGTTCTTTTTGCCATACAGTTGAAATAGCATTTGGAGCTTTATAGTTTGCGTTAAACATTAACTTAGAGAAATACTTCTAGTTAGAATTTGAAGCTGTTTTGAAAAAGTGTATGTTTAAATTTTTTTTTCAATGTTTATAGGTGCTGGTTTGGTGGCCTGCCTTCTCCCCATCCTTATTTCCTTTCTTTTGGATGAAAATGCCCTGGTTTCTGCTACAAACTCGGCAAAAAATCTGCATGAGTTTGCTTTGCAAAATCTGATGCAGATTGGTCCACAGTACTCATCAGTTTTTAAAAAACTGATGGCTTCCTCTCCAACTATGAAAGCCAGGCTCGAATCAGCTGTAAAAGGCAATCAAGAAAGCATCAAAGTGAAGACTGCTAAACATGCAAAGAATCCTGGGAGAAGTTCAAGCATTCAGCTAAAGACCAATTTTCTTTAAAGACTGGTATTGTCATTTTACGCACTTTGGTATCAACAGCAAAAAATGTCCCTTTTAATTTCTGATCAGAGTAGGATCACTATGAGTTGATCTCATATATTTCAGTTTGCACTCAGGTATTACAGAAAGTTTTTAAGAGAGAGCAAATCTCTAGATAACTTTCTGTGAGTGTAAGACTTCTTAAACATCTCTAAACACTGTGACTAAATCTGTCAGAGGTCATCTAATCTGTATTTTTGGATTATTTTGGGTTAAAATACTAGAAATGCACATGCCTGTATTAAAAATATATAGTGACCTTTGCCATCGATATATTTAGGAGCAGCCCACACTTAGCCATTAAGTAAAATTAATTTTGTTTTAAATCAATGTTTGTCAAAAATAACTTACACTGATTGGTTTTTAGATTTAACTGGGACATAAATTTACTTGCAGGTTGTAATCTATCCTAATTACTAATTTAGCGCACTGCATCATTAAGGAAACAGATTAAATATCCATGTAAGGCTTACAATAGGTTATTGTTGATCTCAAAAGAAATTCAACTCAATAAAGGTAATATTGATAGCTTTAATCCTAACAACTTCTTGAGCTGGCTGAGATTTAAAAATGCTGTTAAATACAGCTCTACAATGCTTCTTCACGGAGGACTCCTCAGTGCTTTACGCAGTGGGACTGTTACGCATACGTAAGTATTTGCAGGCTTGGTGCCTTGCTGCTTGACATGGTCTCACTTTTCAGGGCGTATACTTGGGTTAATTTTGTATTAGGCTGGCCAGGCAATTGAAGCTTACATATCTTGTCAGGGATAGGACAGCAATTTTAATATACCGTGCCTCGATTCAGACATCTGCTCTATCTGGATATATGTTTCCCGATCTTTAAATGATCGGTTATATATACACTAACACCAAAATTTATGTATCTCTGCAAGGAGAGATGGACATATTTGAAGTCAGCTTGTCTTGTGTCAAATAAAGTGCAACGAACTCATAATAGGGAGTATTTAATTAACATTTTTATCAAGGAACATATTTTAATATAGAAAAATAACTATCAAAATTGCAATGCTATGAAGTATTTTCTACATATAGTGTATTGACTTCTTTCTTAAAATCAGTATTATCTAAACCAAACACTATCAAACTGAGGATACTATTTCCTTCTTTAATCTAATTACTTTAAAAGCAAGAAGAAAAAAATAATATTTACAGAACTGAGAAACACACTGTGACTCAGGAAAAGTGTGATGTACTGTATTTTATTATAAGTTTTGTATATAAATATAATTGTAAATTGTACAGAATTAACAATTTGACCAAAGTTCTAACAATTTGTTTTTCTGATTTACATAAATAAAGCTAATTTTCTTCACTTAACATTTGTCTTAGTCATTTTACCCGATAGCAGAGGAGCTGTAAGGACTTCCGTAACAGAAAGAGAATGTTTCTATGCTACCACAAGGAAACTAGTAAGAAATGTTTGGGCTGGACGCGCCAAGGTCTGTGATTTGACATTGCAGGTCTTCCTCTGTTCTGTGTAGCACAATGGATAAATAAGTGGGATCAGGAAGGTGGACTTTACATGTGTGCATACCTGCTCTGTGCCATGTGCTGAAATGTGTGAAATATGGGAAGATGGTTGAGATGCCTTCCATCTTTCCCTGGAGAACCAGAAATTCTTTGCTCCACCTTTTCATTGAAGTCAAATCTGTAGTTGTTACATAAAATTTGGCGGTTACTCATCTTTATCTCATTAGTAATTTTTATCTTCTTATTTTTCCCTTCAAAGTTTACTGGGTACATTCTGTACATTCTTTTTTTTTTTTTTTTTTTTTCCCTCCAAGGCCACTTCTGGAAAATCTTAGAGATTGTTACGGGACTTGAAACTTTTAAATGAAACTCATGTCATGTTTACTATCAAAGCGGCCAAAAGCATTGCTGAGAAAGTGAGTTGCCACAATAGGTATGTGTGGCTACTTTTTTCATTTTCTGTAATGTATAAGACCAGCATTAACCTTTTTTCACTAACTTTTCTTAATGTTGATAATACAATCTGATGAAATCTTACTTTGTTCAAAAACTTTTAAGAAGCATGCTCAAGTTGCAAGAGCACTAAGCAAAGCTGTTAAAAGCCAAAATTTAGAGTTTAGAAGAGCTTAGTCCTAGATTTCTTAGAGGGTCTTACTGTAGTAGCTCACAACTGAGTCACTGAGAAGTGCCTTAGTTATGTGATTTGACATTTCGTGGTCAAGTCTTGTAGCCACACGTGGAAAAGCACCATTTGCAACAAATCTGTGTATTCTAAATGCTGAAGCAAAAACGATTCCATTAAGAGAACCATTGCTAATTCTTAATGGCTACTGTAAATTAGGGCATATGTGTGAGCTTAATTTATCCAGATAATTAATTTATCCACATAGTAAAAATACCTGTACCCTGAGTTGTGCTTTATTATGCACACTTAAAATCATGAGCTGGATCACATGAATAAATCTTCTTATCTTGTTTATTTACAAGGAACTTGCATAAATTTCCTTTTTCCTAAAGAAATAAGACCACAGAGCAGTTTTGGTTTTAATACCACTTTTCTTTTTTAGGCATTGCTTGGCAGTCAGGCTCTTATGTATAGCCAAAAAAAAAGAGCCAAGCATTTTCTTTGCCATTAACCAAAGTCTCACTTTTACCATTCC